CACTACTGCGCCATCGCGGGGGGCAAAGGCCCCTGCAATCATGGTACTATCGCAGATATGATTCATTATGATTCCATAATATTCCATTTATAATCATATATATTTAAATCTATATATATATATATAACTATTTTTATATAACTCCTGAATCTTCATCTCAGCTCCCAATGACATCTGAGCCAACGAAGGGTCAAGCGGTAAAGGCTGAGAAGAATGAACAGCACCCCTACCTACCCCTACACTGTCTACAGGTATCAACAGTGATGAGACCTGACGCAAGGAAAGGCCACAAACGTGTTGGCGAGTGGCAAAGGCTGAGAAGACTCATTCGCGCTCCTCCATCACAATCAGGTTTTCTGTAAGCAGCCCCTCTGTCAGTGTCACTACCCCTAACTATCCCTAACTAAGATTTTTGACGCAATCTTTCGATTGTTACTGTGGAAGTCAAAACACAAAGAACACCAACGAATCGCAAAGACATGTGGTGCTGGCCACAGGTCACTTGAAGCAGCTAGCAAAACCTCTCAAAGGATCTCAAAGGCATGATTGCCAAGTCTTGGATGGCCAATCGGAGTAAGGGATTTTCAGGCAACCTCTTCGCCGTTGCCATCTGGCCCCTCTGGCTGTACATTCTCCGTGCTATACTGGGCCAACCAAGACGATAAAATTGCCTTGCAAAAAGCAGCTGTGTAATGAGCGGATGTTGCCAAATGGGGGCCTCCACTCCATCCCTGTGATCCATCCAGCTTCAAGCACTTCGTGTGATAGATCTTGGGAACCTTTCTCTTGGCGTTCCTCGCTTGAAGTCTCTCCTTGGTTAGGTATGGTCAGGCGTGGTTAGGCAGTGTACATCTGAAAACAACAACACCAGTTAGCACAGACAAACGCGTCTCGGACTTTCTCGGATATTCTCAGATCGTCTCGCTGCTATCCACGCGTCGGCAAACTTGATTCTGCACTTTTTGGTCATGACGCGTTTGATCTTGTCCATGGTCCTCCACCAAAAGAAGCGCAAAACAGAAATTACATGAAATTACAGTAAATTACAGTATAAAGATGTATAGAGAGTTATAGAGACATATACATACTGCATACATCTGCATACTGCAATGATACTGCGAATCCCGCATGGGCATGGTTGGGCAAAACATCTCCTCACATTTGATAGGATGTGTGTCGGCTTGTGCAGGTCGTGCCCTAAGAACGCTTGCCATGTATTGGTAATCTTCCTTGGCTGGTCAAACAAAGTCAAAACATGTCAAAAGTCTGTACGTCAAAACCAAACAGCGTAGAAGGATGTAGAAGGTAAAATCACAAAACAAATATATAGAATAAATAAAATACTAAAATTATATGAAAGTTTACCGACAAATGCGCAGGAATCATTTGCGAAGCCCTGGTCAGTTCAAGCATGAAGGGAAGCTTGAACCCCCAGGATTGAGCCGGCTGTTCCAACGCAAAGTAGATACCGCGCTTCATCTCCACCACCACTTTGATACATTGCTCCTTCGGCAGACGTGAAAAAAGGATAATAAATATAAAAAGGTTTATTCAAAATGTTAAATCTATTTAATCTATTTCAATATGGCATAGCGGCATATCATGAACCCGAAATCAAAATTAAAAATACTTTTGCTAGTTACAGTAAGTGTCCAGGTTTTTCCAGATCCGGTTGGCTAGACGAACGGCAAATACACTCTCATCCCCATAGAGCCCTCCGCAATGCCGTTTGTGCAAAGATGCCGAAGCTCCGACAAACAAGGAACATGGTGGAGCGCAAAAAGCCAATCCACCTGGCAAAAGCCTGCAAGTTGACCAACACCGCCGAAGCAAAGAAGGAATACTAAAAGGACAATCGGATACGCCAGCACATCTAGTGATATCTAGTGAATATCCGTATATATCCATATGATATCGTATGATTCCATATGGATTATGGATCTCCGAAAATCTCTGAAGATCCGTGGCCAAACATCAACCAAGAGACGCCAGCATCAATCCCAACAGGATTAGGAATCCTCGTCTGGTCACAAGGTCCTCGTCCGGCGAAGACTTTATGTCATAGGCTTTGGCAACAAAGCCCGCGCGCCTCCATTGTTTCCTCATTGGCCCGCAATGCAAATATGAAACATTTCGAAACATTACGTTGGAAAAACTGAAGAATGAAAAATGCAGCCAGTAAAGTGCAAGCTTCGCGAGCCCCTGCGATATGCTGAATATATCCGCAAGGTGCAGGTAGCGCTCGCCCGACCACTCGCTGGCCCACTGCCGAATCTCTGCAGTATGTAGTTCCGCCATGAACCACCTGGGAACAATGACAAGGCCATAGATGGCCATAGCGTATACCATATGATTTGCATTGAATCACTATAGAATTAAGAAACTAATCGAGTTGTGAGATGCAGCCCTTATAGAATCAAGAACTGACACAGGGATGTGCAAGATCAAAATTGTTGCTTTGCTTGTAGCCAGTCAGTCCCTCAACAGGGTTTTTTCAAGGTTTATTGAATATAAAACAATAGTACATGGATATATATGGATATAGATGGCAGAAGAACATGCAGGATTTTGTAGAATCAGAGAGGAATATTGTATAGCATTGTATGATATTGTATGTAACTGTTGGTTTTTAAATTCTATAGTGATTGTGCCTGCATGTGCCTGCACTGTTATTAAATTCTATAGTGATTGTACCTGCACACCTGCGCATTTTTAAATTCTATAGTATTCCATAGTAAAGTATAGTAAAGTAAAGTAAAGTATTGACTTAAAAAATGTTGAATTGAAACATAGCAAATACAGGTATAAAGAACACATAAGAAAACAATTTAGTTTGATTGAAATAGAATCATAATGAACCAATATGATCCAATATGAATCATATATAATCATACAATATCATACATATCATACAAGTGTTCACGAATTATTCACGAATTCCAAGGAACTCGCTCTCGCCCACTGAGCACGTAGTGTCTGCAGCAATATCCGGCAGGGTACTGAGGGATGGCTTCCACAGCCAGGCACAGCACAAAAGCGCAAGCATTGCAGTGAGCCGCATTGGTCTGGTCAAGCTGGCTAGCAAAGCAAACAAAAGGTCAACCCGATTGAGCCCAAATCTGCTATCCCACGGTATCCCCGAGTGTGGACGCAGGCAGTCTGATTTGATACCAATAAATGTGGCTCGCAATGGCTCGCATCCAGATAGAAAATACATGAAAAAGTTAAACGCTTGCCCCCGAACAAAGCCAGGCCAACCAAGTCAACCTAGTCTCAAGACATCTCAAACCGTGAGAACCCGTGACACGCCATCATGATCAAACGCCTGGCTCTCGCGCGCACCTCGCTGATTTGGGAATTTGATACCACAGGAATCCACAGGATCACAAAACAAGACTGCCAACAACTCCTGAATGTTTCTGGGGGTTCCAAATCTATCCACACAATTCCACATACACATCACTGATCATCACCGCGATCCACCATCCCAAGATATCTCAGAAACATCCAGATCATATCCAATCAGTTTTCACCTGATTTCACACAGTCTGCGCATGTCTGCGCGTTTTCAAAAAATGAAACCGCATGAAACCGCAGAACGCATCTGGATGATTCTGGATGTCCAGCGCGCATCTAGCCCACTGATGCCCACTGTTTTTTTCACGAAATCCTTCGAAGTAGTCTGCAGATGTCTGCATTATAGACCGGCTCAAGAAACATCCAACATATCCTATCGCTACCAGTTCACACGGCATCGAACTTCATGGGGTTCTTTCGAATTATTCCATCATTGGTTTCTCAACTGCCTTTCTTGTACAGCTTTGCTAAGCAGTTCTTGCAAACCTCATACTGTTTGACTTCTTTTCCACGCACACAGTTTTGGAACAAATGAGCTTTGTGTTTGTCTGAAAGCATGAACACGGAATCAACAAAGAAGTCATTCCTGGATACGTGGCTGCACTCACGAATCACCTTGTCACTTTCAAAAGCCGTTTTCGTTTCTCCTGTCCGCTTCCAAGGCATCTTCAGCAATGTCCAAATATCCAAGGGGACACGGATGAGGAAGTAGATAGAAGCTGCCCAGAAGAGAATGTCGAAGCCATCCATCATCCCACCAGACATCAAGAGGCCGGATTTATCCGGAAATATCTGGAGAACTTACACACAAAGGATCTTTCCACTCTTGAATCTTGAGCCTTTTATTTCGGATCAAAAACAGTGGATTGCACTGGCCACTCCAATGATTTCCAACTTCATTCCGTTCTTCGTTTGTAAATACTAAGTACATCATAGTACATCTAAATACATTTGTTTTTTGCTGGTGGTCTTTCCCACAACTTCTTTTCCGGAAAAGAACACGGTGCCATTCCGTAAGCCTCTATAGAATTAGAAACACACATTCTGCTCTTATAGAATCAGGATACCAGGCTTTCATTTTTTTAATCTCCAAAAAATCATGAATCTCTATAGAATATCAATTTCAATCATCAACGCAAGACCATCCACTACAAAATAAAGAAAAAACAAAGCCATTCCTTTTGTATTCTATAGTGGGGCCGAATTCTGTAGAGCAAAAAAACTCATTTCTCTATAGAATCTTGGGGTGCCTGGGCTCCTGATTCTGTAGAGGTCAAATGGCACCGGGATTCGCAGGCAGGTTGAAGACTTTATATCGTTAGTAGGTTGGAGGCCATCGCTGCATCGCTAGTAGGTTGGAGGCCATCGCTTTTAGGTTGGACTAATAGGTTGGAGGCCATCGTTAGTAGGTTGGAGGCCGTCGCTGCATCGCTGGTAGGTTGGAGGCCATCGCCACTAGGTTGGAGGCCGTCGCTCCTAATTAGGTTGGAGGCCATTGCTTCCAGGTTGGAGGTCATCGCTACTAGGCTGGAGGCCATCTCTACTAGCTCGGAGGCTATTGCTTTTAGGTTGGAGGCCATCGCTATTAGGTTCAAGCCGCATCCGTTTAGAGAAGTCACGACCTCTGCCATTGAGTCTGAAACTGTGGTCGCATCCATTTGCGATGCGAGCGAGGCTGCAATGACATCACCATATGCCCGGCAGAAAGGCATTTCCGCATGGCCCACCCTGAAAATCGGTTTGTCAACCTCCGGCCTCTGGCAAGCCTGCCCTTCCAGTTGCACAGTGAGGGATTTAATGTTTTGGGGGGGAGCTTCGTTGCCCGCAAGAGTGAGAACACACAGGAGGACTTGCTTGAGCAAAAGGAGTATGTTCAATGTCTAATGTTCGCTCTCACGCCTCGGTCCGCAAATGCTGCCAAAGCTGTCGTACACCTCAGTAATCTATAAACACAATTGTTGGGACAACAGCCTGGTAACAACAGCTTCCAAAAATTCAGCTACGCGACATTCTTCACTGAGCGATAGTCATCTTGGCCTGACAGCAGGGGCCATCCTATGCTCAAACAGAATTTATAAGCACACACTCAAGTGATCAGATTTGTGAATAAGAACAAAAGTTAGCTGGTCTTTGCTAACTCACCTTCAAGACCCCCTGCATTGAAGAAGTGAGCACATTGTGCGATGAACGCAGCCTGAAACGGCTAGGCGTGACCCCATCAACAACCCAACTGTAGAAATGCAAACCAATACAGAAACATCACAACAAGCCGCTCAAGAAGCATCTCACAGGTGGTTATCTCAACACAGTCCTAACACTCACAGCTTCTTACGAAAGCTGGACCCTCTTGCTCGCGGTCTCTTCAAGCAAGGCTCCTTGGTCCGATCCAAAGGCTTTCCCATGCCATCCACACAGCTCATGCCTGCACAAGAGGAAACATGCTCAGCTAGGAACAATTAGTAAAAGCATGTGCTTCTTTTTGTTACCGTTCAGTCCTCGGCAGAACTCCTTCCTGGCCAGCAGGACATCCTTTGGAATCGAGTTGGGCTCAAAACAAAGAGCATCGGCAGCAGTGCTGTTTGAGAAACGAGCCAAAGGACTACGGCTACTTGGCGCTATGGAGCGAGCCATGCCCATCGCCAAGGCTGCTTTGGCTTGCTGCTCCACATCCTGAAGGATGTGGAGGTGAGGACAATATGCAGACGTATACTGTATTTATATAAGAATGAAAATGAAAGAAAAAATATGTTTTGGGCCCCGTGTGCCAAGGCTTCCTTTATGATCTTTAAGGGGAACTGATTCAAGGACCCAAACACACATGCGTCTTCCTTCTTCTTTCTTTCTAAGCCTTTCTGAGCAATGTCAAGTGCAGGGGCTGGTTGTCATGTTTGCGGGATGTACCCTATGTGCTTGTGCTTAGTCACTTACTGTAGTCCTAAGTTGCTGGATGGGACATTGTCCCCTCGTCTCACATGCTGCTGTGCTTCACAGGGCCTGCTCAGAGGACGCATGTCCCAGGACTTTCTGACCGCCCACACTTCCTCGATGATGGAAACACTTCCAACCGAGCAATGCCTACAGTAATTTTATTTGTTCAGTTTCAATCTTTGAGAACTTCCCCCGCCAAGGTTGCAACCAACTTCTCCGTACGGGCAGCCATTTCCACGACAGAATACACCATTCCGCGGTGGCCTTGGACTTTGCAATTGTCACGACGTTCTGCAGGTTCTCAATGCCATCAAGAAAGGCACGATGCATTTCAAGCATCTTCCGATGCCATTGCTTTGTAGTCCCAGTCCGGCAGTCACTAAGGAGTGGGCATCAAAACGGCATTGAGAGGCCCTTCTGGTGTAGAATTCTTCTCTACCTTCACTCGCACCACTGAGAACTTCGCATTCAAGAGTTCTATGCTTGAGTCTTCCAAGCCTGAACCACCAGCGCACTGCTCAATCCCACCAAGTGGGCAAAAAGCCGCGCCATCCTAGGCTATGAACTTCGATCCTTCGCTTAACTCGCAAAGTTAAGTTTCAAGCATCCATCCCCCGATTTGCGTCAAGGTCAAAGCTACGGTAATATGAGCACCCGACTGCATTCAACGGGGAAACTGCGGAGAGCCTGCACTGTGAAAACGATGATGTAGAAACATGGTTGCAGAGGAAAAGAAAATTGTAAGAGCTAGTTCAATCACTTCCCTCGTTAAGATCTGAAATGCCCCGTTCAAGGCCACATGCAAACATGTGATCCGCTTTTCTGTATTTGGTGCGCGCACACGCAGGGACAGCTAGTAGCCACCTGATATGGATCGAGGCTTTGCCTACGCAAATCAGCTCACGGCTACTTGCAGCAATGCAAGGTGATATGCCGACGTGGCCCTTGGGGCCATAAGGCCGGTGTTCTGCTGGCTCTTGAACTTACGTTCATCTGCACAAGCTGCTACAAAAGGGCCTTTTTCACAAACCGCCACATGCAGCCCACAGGTCAAGGTCGAAGGAAAAGCCGTGGGCACTTTCTAGTGCCAAGGCGATACTGAAATTCTGTCATGCCGGAAGATATGCCTACAGGGCCTACATGAGTCATTCTGTACACTTTCGGGGCAAGACACCAAACAACAGTTGCAATAAAAGCTTTTGTACCTGTTGGAGATGTCTCACCTAGGACTCGACCAGCAAAGTCAGCGAATTTTGTCGACAGGAATGAATAGTTTTTGCACACGGCCCGTTGCTGATGTTTAGCTTTGCATTCTACTATATAGGTAATGTCTGAGGTCGAATCGGCTCTCGTCCCAAAAAGAATTGGCTCGTGAGCCTCTTGGCGTCCTGATGGCGCAATTACTAGGAGCACTACTCACACAAAACAAAACTATGCCTTCAAAGTTATTTTAGTTACTGTACAGTAAAGAAACAGTGCACAAAGTTGCACGAAGACCTCCAAAGAACAAATGCAAACCTTTGGAATCCTCAATCCCCTCATAAATTATCCTTGGAGTTTCACATGCGGGCACTCATTTGAAGAGATACAAGTCTGCGGGACCCTGTGCCGAATCAGCTTCAAGCCTGTGGTACCCCTCCCAAGCATCCAGCCTCATGGCTCACCTCGACCCATGTGGGATCTTCACTCATCTTTTCAACGAACCTCAGTGCACAATTCTCCAAACACTGTTCTTCTGCCCTCCGAGATGTTATGGAAAGGAAAAAAGGGCTTCGTTTACTGCAAATTCACAAGCAATCTTCTGGCCTTCGTGAATAGAGGGTTGCAATCTCGGAAAGGTCTGCATCCTGTGTTTCAGAGCGTCATTATCAACTCGACTTTAGCCACTAGCCCTTACTGCATGCTTTTCCTGGATACAACCGATTGAAATATCCGCAGCTGGGACTTGAGAAATTGCCGAATTGGAAAGGAATGTCCTCGAGGGTCAAATCGCAGAAGCTCTTCACGTCAATGCCAATCACGGTCGTTTCATCCATTGCCTTCATTCGGGGTAAGGCTGGCATTGCCCAGGCATGGGGACAAACACTTTCAAAAGAATCTACAGGCACCCACACTCAAGACGTGCTGAACTGTCAGGTAAGCCAAACAAGCAACCGGAGCTTCGAGCACCAACGCAAAAACTTTGCAGGGCTGAAGCCCATGGGTGAATACAATACATATAAATAAACAAATAAACAAACTATATATATATATATATGTGTGTGTGTGCGCGTTCTTCTTCTCATTTCTTCAGGCAGTTTGTCACTGCTTAGTTTCTGGCCACAATGATCTTTCTAAACGAACCTGGGATTCATGGATTCCTGGATCTGCCTCCGCATGTTCGCCACACAGTGCTACACCCACCTCAAGGCGATGGGTACGTGCAGGTTCTGAGTCCTAGCTACCCCTTACTATTGGGTTGTTACTACAGTAGGCCCTACTGTTAGGTAATGGAGGTCACCATCCTGCGGGTCCTAATGGTTAGCTAGAACACGTTCTCACTCCAAGAATTGCGGCAGCGGCGCAACATGTGCTGGTATGAATATATGCACACACATACTGCCCACACACACTTAGGATAGGGTGTGCTGAACTGAAAGCGGTGCCACACGCCAGCCTAAGCAAAACCACCTAAGGTTCCAGGTAGTAAGTTTGAGGCCTCCAAAACCTATGAACACGAGGTCGAACGGCGGCGACAGGGTGACGACGGGTCGTGCAAATCCTCCAAGGTGGGTCGCCGCTGCATTAGACGCTTACTGCACAACAAAGAATGAGACAGCTTTCGCCATACTTAGGTTCTCAATAGCAGGTACACCAGGTTGATCAGACCTGGCTTCCCAGATGCAAGGTAGCTTTGTTAGGCGCAGTCCGCTCAAAATGAAACCGGAGTCCAAAATACAATCCAAACGGACCCCTGTGACTACAAGGGGCACACACACACACACACGCCTCCTGAAGGGGAGGCATGTTTTAAGCGCCGAGCCGGACAGGTTGGGTGAAACTAACGAAACTGACGAAGTTCACGGAATGTTTGGTAAGCAGTGAGTGGAACACGAAGTTGACAAATGGCATCATCATGTAACCGTGGGGCGACTGTGTGAAGAGGGCGGTAGGGATATGGCATCTCGTGAATATTCATGTGGGACACCAAGTACGCGAAGCCGTCGAGAGTTGACGTAGTAAAGAACAAGATCCTCAAGTGTGCAGGTGTGTGGGACTTCCCAAACCCTGGAATCGCCGGTAGATGGAAGGGCCATCCAAAATGATGTGCGTTGTTGTCCAATTCGGGAATAGATCACATCTTTGAGGTCGTCAACAGTATATTCCTTGGTCTCGAGCTGGGACGTGTCAAGAGTGACAGTGATATAGTTGAGCGGTTGATAGACCAAGAGGCTGATGTCCAATTCAAATCGGACGGTGGAGAGATGAGGGACTTGACTTGATCAAGCGTTTCAAAAGGTTGCCGTATGGCTCTCCAGTCAGTAGGAATCAACTGAGTCAAAGGTTCAGGAACGCGAAGTCTGGGTGAAGAAATCATCGTGGGGGAGGGATACCGGGATAGTTGGATAAGCTGAAATGGCTGCAGGGAATAAATCAGTGAGAGGGTCGATGTAAAGAGGATTAGGGCAAGTGGTCATGAGCGTGAGAAATTGTCAGGTGTGAAAACAAATTATTTCCAGATTGAAGAGGTCGTGCGTTCGGTGGGGAGGTCGATGATGAGGTCAGGGACATTGAAGCGGAATCGGGGACAGGCACGTCCGCCCCAGCAGCAACAGGTGAGAGTGGTAGATCTGAGGAGTCGTGTGGTGGAGCGGCGGTCGCAGGTGTAGACTGTGTTTGTTGATCAACAGCAGCCTGTAGTTCCTCTCGATAAGTCGTCAGCGTATGGACAAGTCCATCCAGGACGGTGTGTTGTTGAGCAGCGGGGAGATCCCGTAACCGGGGGTAGTCGAGACATCCATCTCGGAGAAGTGCTGAAGCATGTGTTCCAGCACGGGTGTGCTCCAGATTGTCCACAGCTTGACGTTTCCGGCCTCGAGGATAGGAATCAGGAGTTGGAGATTGTGCTGCAAGGCGTTGCTCCTCTGCGATCATGGCTCTTTCATACTCCTCACAAGCCTGCCAAATGGGAAGGCGTTGGGTGGCACTCAAGACAAGTTGCCAGCCGCGAGTGCTCCAGACACGATAGTGACAGTCTTTCCAGGTGGAGGAGGGGTGCCGGTCCAGGAAGAAGCCATTGGCGGATTGGAACTAGGCCACGTCATCGTGTCGTTGTCCCACTTAATAGTGCGGTAGTGGAACCAGGCGCGATAGAACCAATATCGGGAAGTACCGTAGGTGCGGCAAGCCCATTCTTCATGAGGGAATGCAACATAAAAATCTCCATGATTGCGAGCATGAAAATGGTCAACATCGTCCACATAATCCTCATTGTATTGATTGTCAACTCTGGGAAGACCTGGGAGGAGGGTAGGATCCAGACTTGCAGTAAAGAAGTGTGGTGGCACCAGAGGTCAGGTCAACGATAACGTTAGAACCTCCAGGTCCGAGAGGAAGAGCCATAGAAATTTGCATCTGAGGGTGCATCCGGGAAGAACTCGCCGAGGCATCCGAGGGGTGCGTAGAGCCAGTGGTATCATTGATGTCCATGACGGTCAAGCAAAGCAGGGGTGAAAGTCCTGAACACAACCATGTAATCCAAATGGCTGCAGAGAGAGAGAGAGAGATGCTGGACTGCATGGCAAATGTCGGCATCCGAAGGCTTGCAAGCTTGAGCTTCGTGTCTAGCCCCCCTTTGCCCATTTGGTCAAAAGTGGCACCACGCCAGGCCTCACGGAGCTGGTGTGCGCCGTGAGCAAGGTCTGCTTTCCCAGCGGCGGCTGGAATCACGAGGCGAAGGCGACTGACAGGGTGGAACCACCTCCAAGGTCCTTCCTCCTGCCACGCATCATCCTTCAAGATCACACGGAGCTTTGCCACCTGCGTACCAGGTTGCTTGCCCCACCTGCACGGGGGGTTGGCCATTCGAAGTCTGCACACACGGGCAAACAAGCGCTGCAGCAAGACCGGTCGAAGATGTACTGTGCCCCCATAAATCACGGATCGGATCAAAGGGCTAGCCATCTTATTGCGACCCAAAACGGCCGTCAACGTGTTAAACAAAGCATTGCAAGTGGCTTTAGGAGGCATCCGAGCTCCCCAACCGAAGCTTGCCACGGGGAGGGCAAGTTTGCGAAACAAAGAGAGCTTTGCGGAATAAGGCAACGGCAAAACTTTGATCAAATGAGTTCTTTTCACTGCCAACTGCACCCGACCGGATTCTTTGGCAGTATTCTGACGCGGACCTGTAGCGATGCATGTACCAAGCACAGAAAAATCTCTCTGACGACACCACTCGGGGTGTTCTTCTTGGAGCTGCTCCTGCCCACGCCGAGTCTTGGCGCAGGCCAAGGTTTTGTTCTCGTTCTCTTTGAAGCCAACCAAGTCCGAAAAACTTTTCCAAGCTGTCACACAGGCGGCGGACTGTGCAAGGTCCTTGCCAATCCAAGTTCTATCGTCCATATATGAAAGGAAAGGAAGGGCGTCCACGGACGCGAGCAAGAAACCAGCGTCAACCAACTGAGATTTTACCGAGTTCTGACCTGCCAACATCCAACAAGCGAGGGTGAGGGGTGCGAGAGGGCACCCCTGTGGCACAGCAGAATGCTGCAGTGTGCTATGGTGTGTGTGGTCACCATATTGTATCCATCTTTCTGTGCGCCAAGCCTGCCGAATGTGCTCTGCAAGACACTTGGGCAAACCAATGTGTGTTAGAAAATCCGCACTGGCACTGGCAGACATGCGATCATAGCAAGCAGAATAATCCAACGTGACTAGGTGCTCCAGCGTGTTGGCTCAACCCACAGAGAGACTGTGGGAGAGCTTTGACCCAAGCTCTGCAACTTTTGCTCAGACACCAGGAGGCGGCCCATATACGCCACCATATACTGAGCACAGTGATAGGGCGTAAGTCGGCAGTGGCCACGCAGGCCGTGTCCGTGAGCTTGTGCATTTTGGGAATGTTCACCATTCTACCCTGTGTAAGAGCATGAGGAATGCGTTCTGCTTCGCACCATCTCAGAGCAATGCTGTGAAAAAGTCGCCAAGTTTCTTCAGGCAGAGCATGCACTTCAGCAGCCGTCCAACTATCACACCCAGCCGCTCCCTGACATTTCTGCGCAGCGGCCAGCACTTCCCAGTATGTGGGGGCATCCCACGCGCTGGCCAAATGCTGGGCTGGAAAATTGTCTGCAAGAGTCCTGGCAATCGATTCCGCACTGACCCCCAGGCTGTCAGTGCGCTGAGCTTGCTCGGCCCAGAGCTGCGACCAGTACTCATGAACAAATTCCGCAGCTTGGTAATCGGAGTGAGCGGATTGGCCATGATGAGTGACTGTGAAACCCATTCACTGATTGCTTTGATGTCTTGGTTGACAAACTTTTGCCGCCATTTTTGGAACCTGGCTTCGGTGTCGGCGGCTTCCTGCCTGTTTCTATCAGCACGGCAAGAGGCTATTTCACTGGTCACGAGCGCAAGCACCTGCGCCAGGCTGGCTTCAGCTATCACAAAATGATAAGGCCAAACTTTGCGCAAGAGATTATGGAGCTCAGAATTGCAATGAGCCACCCAATGCTTTCCCTGGCTGACTTCTTTCTTAGCTAAGCGGAGCACCGTGTACATGCGAGCCAACTTACGAGAAAGAGCTTTATCGGCTTGGGAAGAATTGGCAGGGGCGGCATTTCGCAGCACCATATTGACCATCTGAATCTCTGGCTTTTGCACGCCCTTACCAGTTTTGACACCAGGCTGGCGCAGCTTTTGCAACAACTCCCGTTCGTGAGCGGGAGTGGTTATATGTTTGGCAGCATTCTGAGTGGCGAGGCGCATGACAGCGCTGAGAAGGCTCATATATCGCTTCCATTCTTGTTCAACATCAATCGGCTGATTACCCAAGTTTTGCAAACACTGCAAATCGCTGTTTTGGCAACACAGGAACCAGGCTTTGCGAACAAGGGCTTTCCAATCTTCGGCCGAAACGAAACTGGGTTTCTCCCACCTAGGCTGAGGCTTGAACCTGCCTCGTTGCAAAGGTGGGCGTCGAGGCTGGCATGTCGTCGTATGATCACTGAGGTGGACCGTTTCACACACGGCCGGAGCACAAATGTCGGCTTGGCTGGCAGCACAACCGATTTCTCGAGGAGTTTTTTGCTGCCACCGAGTACCTTGACCGCTTCCCACTACGACCGCCAGATGGGCGGCCTGGAGGACCTGAACTAGGACAGAGCTTTCAGGAGGATCATTGTAATTCCCGGCAACAACCCAGGCCAGGTTGGCCATGTGGTGTGATTCCATGGCGGCCAGGATGTTTGCCGCCTGTGAAATGGAAATTAAACCATAAAGTGAAAGTCGTGATGGCAGGAAAATCATGGATGTCAACAAAGAAATTGGGTGGAGAATCATGGATGTCAACATAGACATTGGGTGGGTCAAGCTGGAGCCACGTAAACGAGGTGGAGTGGAGTGGTAAATGCAAAAGTGTAACAATCACATGAATCCGAAATGTGAGAAAGAGCAAATTCATCAGAAATTCTTTTCGAATCAATACCGAGTGGAAGAAGGTGGTGAAACAAACGTACTAGCGCGGGTTCAGGCGAGAACGAGAGCGGGAACGAGATCGGGTCGAAGTGCCTCTGGGCGCAGGACCATGACGTGAGTTGCCGCCCGTGGTGCTGCCGGATCGTGTAATCGAGGGAGTAGTGGTGGGAGGTGGGGAATGGGGATGGGCGTCTAATCGATGGTAGGTGCGACCCTCAAGAACGGCAATGCTGCCGGTGGATGTAGTCGTCGAAGGAGGGCGGTCTGCAAAGGGTGGGCGATCTGCAAAGGTTGTGCGTCCACGTAGTTCTTCTTCAAGCTGTTCAGGACTATGATGAAGGATGCGCAGCAACCCATGCAGTGAGAAGCTCATGAGTGTAATGAAGGGCTGAGTGGGTAGCCCGCAAGCCCAATAAAAGGGTAGAGTCCAGACCTTGTAGTTGTCCTCGAAGTTGTGGGCAGGTGACCCGAGCAAGAAAAGGGGTGGAGCGTATCGCAAGGGGTTGACGCAAAAGCGTCTGAACCAAGGCCAAAGAGGCGTGTACATGAAATAGTTCACGATGTAGGACGGCCTGTGCCACCAGTGAGACGCCCTCCGTCGGCGCCCAGCCACAAGGGGATTGGGGCATGTCAAGAAGGTCGGTAGGAGGGGCAGGCGGGTGGCTCATGGCGGTGGGATCAAGGTGGGCGGCCCCTATATCAACAATGGAAACTGGAGCCACAGGTCATGAATAAATTCAACTGAACAGATGGAACAGAAATGGAAAAGAAAGTCGGAGTGGACCAGAATAAAAGTATGTGAAGAGTAAAGCGCGGTGCAAGTTGTTCTTTTCCAAGGAAGAGGACCCAAACTAATGGAAAGATCGTGAAACTGGGTCTAACGCGGGTTCACTCGTGAGCGAGAACGAGATCGATCCATACGGTGGCTGAGGGCGGTGCGAGGCACGGTAGTGGTCCGAAAGATGTCATCAGTTGCATCAGAACCAGTGGTAGGTGTCGAAAGGGTTCGCGGTGTAGTCAAGGGTGGACGAGAAGTTGAAGTCGTAGTCCGGGTAGAGAACGAAGAAGTCGGTGGGAAGACGCGGGGGTCCCTCTGAGTTCGGCTGCTAACTGAGCTGAATCAAAACGTGTGGCACGCATCAAGCCAAAGGTGGTCAACAACTCCAAAGTGTAATGAAGAGCAGTGTAGGTGACCTGCCGTGTCTGAAGGATGCTGGCCTCCAAACCCCGAAGTTCTACTTGAAGGTGAGGGCAAGTGACACATGTCAGGAACGAAGAATCCAACATGGCAAATGGGGAACGAAGAACATGGAGGATACGGTTCAAAGAAGCATGTACATGAAGGATTTCACGATGTAGCATAGCCTGGGCCACCATAGGGATGCCCTCCATCGGCGCCAAGCCCGCAGGAGAAGTGGACATGGCAGAAGGTGTTGGGGAGGATGGGTCACCTGGTAAACTAAGGCGCCGACAGGTTCCAATGAACCTTAAACTTGCTTTGACCGCTATGGTCACCTTGTGCCTTGCCAAAATGGCTGGCTGCTTTGACCGCTGCGATCACGTAAAGGCATGAGCCATCTTGGAACGCAATAATTCGACAAGTCTTGGCAAATAACTTTGGCGTAAGCCTCCTGCTGTCCGCTCCGGACACCTACCTTCCCAAAGCCGGGGAACATGGACTAACCCCGTTAGACGGGTCCACGGGAGGCACTCTTCGGGCTCATCCCGGGCTCTCACTAGGAGAGACACACTTAGGATAGGGTGTACTGAACTGAAAGCGGTGCCACACGCCAGCCTAAGCAAAACCACCTAAGGTTCCATGAGGCCTCCAAAACCTATGAACACGAGGTCGAACGGCGGCGACAGGGTGACGACGGGTCGTGCAAATCCTCCAAGGTGAGTCGCCGCTGCATTAGACGCTTACTGCACAACAAAGAATGAGACAGCTTTCCCCATACTTAGGTTCTCAATAGCAGGTACACCAGGTTGATCAGACCTGGCTTCCCAGATGCAAGGTAGCTTTGTTAGGTGCAGTCCCTTGCATCTGCTGCGCCCCCCTGCTCAAAATGAAACCGGAGTCAAAAATACAATCCAAACGGATCCCTGTGACTACAAGGGGCACACACACAAATACAAATACGATGTTATATATATATATAAATAAATAAATAAAGTATGTACACGCAGAACGCTGAAAGCTACGCACTAAATTATATTGAGTTTGTTGGAAATTTGGAGAAACTTTTACGTCACTGATGAACTTCCAGCTGGTTGATGAGTTGAGATCACCTGCTGCAAGGCAGCAATCACAAGCAGCGCGTCCTCGGAATCACGGGTCAGCTTGACTGTTCTTGCGGGGGCAGGAGCACCGTTGCAAGACTTCGCCAACGAAAACAATTGCAACCGGTGGAGAATCCAAACCTGATCAGACTGACGCGCCTGCAGTGATGACTTGAATGGTTTTCCGTTGTGGGTAGAACAAGCTTCCGTTCTCTGCATCGGCTGTGCAGTCTGCAGTCTTCCACTTGTCGCTCGGTCTCGCTTGAGTGTCAATTTAAATGTTGCACATTGCACCGTGCACCTTTGCTTTGGCTTTACCTATCTCGGGTTCCTGAGCAACCGCTGCAGCCGGATGTCTATATATATTTTTCTATATATAGTTAGATATATAACCCCAAAAACCACTTATTTTCACTACCTCCTGGCCACCTCTTTTTTCGCTCTCCCGTCAGGGTTAGCCCTCCGAAATTGGCCTGTGCACCCACCCACCCCCTTTACTCACTGCGTTTGCCCAACAAAACTTCAGCCTAGCCTATCGGCTGGCTTTCGTGATATATATATATATAGTTATATAACTTCTCCAGTGTGTAAGCCGCATCCTGGGGTGCTGATCACCGGCACCACAAATGCCACGAAGGGTTCAGGTTGTTGAAATGATTTCGCTTGACTAAAAATGCAATCTATCAAACTGTTGTCTATATATATATACTAAAGCATTATATAAATAAGTGTAACGCTGTAACGTGGACGTGTATACATAGATATATGTAGATGTGATTTGTGTGTCTACCGAAAACGGTACGAGTAGCTCAATGCCATTGGCCCACTGACACCCTACCTGTGCCACGCCCACATGGGCCCAGTTGCACCAAATAGCAACTTCACACAGGTAGTCGTCCTTCCGCCGCTCAAGCATTCCGTTTGCAAATCGCCAGTTGCAACTGGCAAACAGGCGGCCTGGCCTGCTCCAAAACCTCGGCCCACGGCAACTGGTCGGTTCGCTCACGTTTAATCACTGCTCGCACTTGCGCTTTTCTTTTCATCCTCATCATCGGCATCATCATCCTGCTAGTCCTCGATGCCTACTGGGGGTCTAGAATTCCACTATGAGTCATATGAGCAGAAGAGTTTGGTGAGTCTTGTGGAGAATGTTTGCCTAGCACACTTGAGCATAGCAGCAATACCAACAGCCAAACTGGCTCACACCAACAGTAACAGCACCAACAGCAGTGCGCATTTGGCATCAGGTAATAAGTAATTGGTATACTGAACATTAGACACCACATTCCTCTGCATGCCTCACCTTCAGCAAAGGCACGGTGGATGCGTCTGTGATAGGAATGGAATGGAAGGAATGAAGTGAATCAACCGAAGCGGTCTCCCAATCTGAAGAAAATTCATTCCTGACGAGCAGGCGCGCAACCAGGGAATGAGCCGGTTCGGAAAAGAACAACATGATACCAATTGGAACCGGCATCCAAACATGGTTTGCTGGTCATGATAAAGTGCCTTATCATATGGACTGTCGGGTCCATCCTCTTGATATTGATATGCGTGTTGTACCCCGTAAGCTTTCAACGAAAGAGCTTTCCCTCTTCGGGTGTCCCACCTACAGGAACCCCACTCCTTGCGACCAAAAAAAGAGCATCTCCAGCCTGGAACGATCTGGAACAAGGCCATAGTGGATGTTGCCCTGTTGAATGAAGAACATCTCCGATGCGGCGTCCACCAGGCCTCGAGGTTCAATTGTTGACTTCACTAGCATCTCGCAGAATCTTGCAAATTGCTTCACTTTAACGTTGCTGAAAACCCTGAAACAACAAAATCGGTGCGGACTGAGTGAAGGAAATGATGGGAAATGAGCAGTTATCTGAAAATCGTGCTGAAAAGAGGATCTGCCGCTGCCAGCTCTTTGGTGTGAAGCACCCGTCCGCTCATGCCTCTCAGTAGCAGCAGAAAAGCACAATGGCACCAAATAGACAAGACACAGCTTGTCAGGGGGCAAAATGTGAATTTGGGCGAACGACTCACATAATGGCTCCAACACTCTTCAGGACGAACAGTCACATCATGTTTGACTTTAAGCTCATGTTGAAGCGGGTATCTCCTGTGGATGCTCCGAAGCATTGCATGTCACATGATTTGTCTCCAGGTATCGTCAGAATCATCTGAATTCCGTGCAGGCAAGGCGCGATTCAAAATAGCCTGCGACATGGCCCCAAACTTGTTAGGCCATCACTGCAAATGTATCGCACAAGCCCCTACCAAAACATACCGGGTTCCCCTCGCTCAAACCAACATGAACGTAAAAATTGGTGACACTGCAACCGAAAATTGTTGTACAGCACTAAAGTTTGTTCGTGAGGCTCACAACCACAAACTGCCCGCCTCGCTCATTTTTCGGATGTAGCAAAACCTGAGCTGCAATTAGTCCAAGCAATGACTCTCTCTCTCTCTCTCACTCTCCACTGCTGCAAATGCCACAACATTACTACTTCGTACAGTACCAGTACTTTGATGTACTCTGTGCTACTTTGCGCGCCTCCCTTTCACATGAGGCTTGGTAAATGACAGCCGTGCTGTAGGTGGTGGCAGGTATGCCATAATCAGGAAAATTATCGTCTGCGAAGATCAAAGAGCATGCCCAGTGGCATGGGATGAGCCACGAGGCACCTGAAATGCGTGAAGAACTTGAGCTCGTTCCTGTGAAGAAAGCAAAAGTCTTGGCTTCCGTAACTTCCGCTGCGTCGGCTGCTTCTGATCCACCACCAGTGAATTGCTACACTGTTTGGACATTCCTGTGAAGTTTCTCACTGATGCCTCAGCTGGTCTGTCAAGCTGGTCAAGATTGTAATTCTCCTCGGCACGACGGCGGCGCAAGCATGGCGAATAGCATCCACCTTCATCTATTTGCTTTGTCTATTTGGCTGCCTGGTTGGGGAGGAAAAAAGGACCGCAGCAAAACAAATGCAGAGGGAGAGGAAGACCGAGAACCCACCAGAACGGCTTCATTACTTCTCATTTGAACACATGCAGCCTAGTAACTCTTCTGGAACGCGCTCGTCCACTGTCTTCAACGCCTGAAGGTTTTGGTCTGCAAGAGGAATAATTAACTCAAAGAATACCATAGTTAGGCCTAGCAACAACTCAAAATCTTCGTAAATTAGTCTCGTAACAAGTGTTCAAACGTCTTTACTGAGGGCTAATGACATACTGTGGGCATTTGCTGGGCTTGTGGCATAGGAGTTGTGGGCCGCCGCATTTAAGTCATCAGTCAGTAGACAAGGTAGCCAAATGTAGGACACAGTAGGATGACGTAGGAGGCGCGGACGTTGCCAGTACATAACATGCAAACCTTTTGAGACAGCATCAACGTGTGCGCCAGAATCATGTCTGTATGTTTTGACCTGATGAGATAGAAGGCATATAGGCTCCTTCACTGATGACGTAGTTTATTTTTTCCCACCCATCGTTTCACAGGTCCTAGCTCACTTTAGTGTATGAAGTTGTCTCGTGTCTGAGCGGTGCACATACTCAATGTAGCGCGTCACCTTGGATTGATCTCGGGTCTCAAAACGCAGCATTCATGGCATTGCTCGTCCCACGCATTCTGTTAATCTAGGGCTCAATCACGCAGCATGGTTCGAACTTCAACCGCAGCGAAATGGGACAGCACGGTGTTGTCCAAGTCGCTCTGAAGCACAGGTCCCTTGGCACCTTCTGCTGCTTCAAGTACCGGCGAAGCAGCCAAAACCTCTGCGCTGTGGCTACAACGGGGAGAAATACACTTGAACTACGCCAGTCCAAACTCACTCCCCATGTTCTCCACATGTTCTCGGTTGCATTAGTACCAGGAGGCTGCTTGGACTTGTCGGCTTTCATGTTGCGCAGCTGCGACATTGACCCCTCGGGAAGCGCACAACCCTGCAGTGAAAGCTGTCTCGCTGAATCAATAACTACGTGACACATACAAATACAAAGCTATACAAAGCTATAAGGCTACAAAGGCTTTGGCAGTGATGGAGCTGATGAATGAGGAGAACAGAACCAGGCCCGCAATCAAGACCTAGCACAAACAGTCGAACACCTTCAGCATGCAGACCTTCATGTATTTACATGCTAAGGTCATGTCCATGATGGCGAAGTAGCGCTCCCAAACATTTTGAGGGTGCACCTGCAATGCGCAATGAAGCTACAAAACGGATCCGTCGCACCAGCTACGAGCTCGGTCCGTGACATCCATAGAGGCCGGAGTGAACTGTGTGAGAGACCAATGCAAACTTGTGCCTCGGCATCCCAATGCCAAGGCATCCAAAGGCTGCATATCTTGCACGCTTTTAAGCTTTAGGGGTTTGACAATGAAAGTGACAAGGGTTCCGGGATATCAGCCCCAAACAACCACCACAACCTACGAAGTGGGAGGTGTTCGGAAAGGTACCCGATAGTATGGAGAACCCTGGCACGGGTGGGTACACGACGGGGAGTCCCTGAAGGGTTAGTCCCCGTAGTGTAGTTGAGGGGTGTGCGGACGAAAGGGAGCACAGTACGGCAACCTAACGAAGTGCACGAAAGCGAACAAAGCTTGCACGAGCGAACGCGAGCGAACGGCGTGCGCGACAGCTGAAAAGCACGACGGAAGCGCGCTTTTCTTGAGCCAATACATGTCGGTATGACATGAAGTGTTTGACTGTACACGACGTCCCATTGAATGACAAGTTAGGGGTTGAATCCGTATGGAAAACTTTGACTCCCCCCTCGCCGTTTTGGCGTGCCATGGGACACTATGTACATGCATTAATTACCGCGCATTAAGCAGCGGCTTTGGCATCTACGTCGGCACCTAACGAAAAGCTTCGATCCCCAAGGGATGGCTTAGGCTCACGAATGTCAGTACGTATGCCAAGAAGGCATAAAGCTTTGTACCACTTCTGCGGTGGTAGTGCTTTAGTAAAGATGTCGGCGGCCTGTTCGTTGGTGTCGATGTATTGCACCTTGATGCATGGGTCATCGAGACACTCTTTCAAGGATGAGAGGTTTATCCTGTGTGTACGGCCGATATGTCGAAGTTTCGGGGAGTACCCCTTACGAACGACTATGATGGTGGCTTGGTTGTCCTCGTGGATAACTAAGTCCACCGGCCTCTGCAAGAGTTTCTCCCAGAGTTGGAGAGCAGGGATGCCCTCCTGGTACAAAGAGTGTGCCAAACTTACCACTTCTGACTCCGTGGTGGAGCGTGAGGTGGATGTCTGCCTTTTCGAGATCCATGCAAGTGGGAAAAATGCGTTAGGACCTTTTAGTGTGAGGAAACCGCCCGAGGTTGACTTGACGTCACCGGAATCGCCCCCAAAGTCTGCGTCGACATATAGCTCAAGCCTGAGATCCTTGGGATCGTCTTGGCAAGATGCGGTTAGTCTATAGTCTAGCGAATATTGGAGGTATTGGATTAGCCTTAGTAACTTCTTATCGTGTACTCTGGTCCAGGCTTGGACCTTAGTCGCTAAGTCGTTAATAGGCTTAAGGATGTCAGGTCTAGACAGGCGGGCCAACCAAAGGGCCTTCATTAGTATTGAACATGCTTTTGGGGGAGAGTCCTCGTCCTCCTTTGACCACGTTCCGTCAGGGATGAAGGGAGTTTGCGCAGGCTTGATTTTATCGACTTTAGCTACGCTTTTATAAAGGTCTATGGTCTGTTGGGCATAGTCCTTCATGTCGAAAATCAATGCATCTGGGGCCGCGCCTAAAGCAGCGTTCTCTTCACCCTGAACTTTATCGAAACTGGCGTAAACATGGTTTCTTCCGAGGATTCTATAAATGGTTTCGGGAGGCTCTACGTTTACTTCTGACATTAGTTGGTTCCAGAAAGGAGCATGGTGCTCGGATGGTCCGGATAATGTCAAATCGTCTACGTACGTAGATAACATGAGACCTGTCCCTTTGAAATAGAAATTTCCGGGGTACTCAGGAATCTCCTCGCCGTCCATTTTCTTTAAAATCCCTTTTAGGTGGTTTTCCCACATTCCGCCTGCATCGGGATGTCCGTATAATGCCCTCACTAGAAGTACAACTGGACGGGTGAATTTTCCTTTCCACCACTCCGGGCGGAGTTCAGGTGGAAGTTCGATCCACGTTTTGTACTTACTTTTGAGAAAGGCTTGGACATAAGCCTTCACGGCGTCCGCCGCCGTGCAGGCATGTCCCGGCAAGGAGCCGTAGGCTAGACAGGCGTTTAAGCCCTGTACGGATGTTGGGTTCGCGCCCAACTCCTCGTAGACGGCGGCGACGCCATGCTCGTCGCGTGCACAGTCGCCGCGATATACTATTCGCCCCTTCATTTTGTGAAGGTGTTCTGCTAGTTCCCAAAATTTAATTGAGGCGATAGTCATTAAACGGCCAAAGTGTACGGACACTTTGCTAGCCTTTGCTTCAGCCTTGACTGCGTCATATTCCTGAACCGAGTCAAGATCCCAGGTACATGTCGGCGTTCGTCAGGTCGAGGTGTTCCTTGCTTAGGGGTACATGTGGGATTCCCAACTCTAGAAATGTTTTGTGCATCTGAGAATCGGGGGCACACGCAAACTCGAACATGCAGCGGTTGAACTTGGGTGGTCTCTTTTTACCTCTACTTCTCTTTTTCTTAACTTGATCTACTTGTGGGGCTTCGGTCACTGTTGGCATTCCAAACACAGGCACACCACTTTCGGGTCTAGTTTGTACTAGTTGGGTCCTATATGTGGTGTGCGGGGTTATCGAAAGGCCGGCTATTACCGTCGGCGTAGCACTGGCGTCCTCTGGTGTCTCCGGCGGAGGGTCCGCCGGTGGTGGTGGAGGCGGATCTTCTGGGGCTACAGGAGGAATTTCTTCAACAGTCATTCCTTCCTTTCGCTTAGCCAAAAGGTCGGCCTTCTCCTCTTCAACAAGGCGTGCAAAACGTTTTCGGCATTCGGCAGTGTGATGACGAGTCTTGCGCTCGCAGGCCTTGCAGCCAGGAGTTTCGCTGAATCGGATTACTCGATCTAGTGTTATGTACACACTTCGGGACTTAGGCCCAACGGGCGTCGGCGGCGCAGCGCCTTCGCCCTCTTCCCCAAAGGGAACCTCCTTCATGGGATAGTCAGGCATGTCTAGTTTGGCAATGTCGTCCAAAATTCCTAACGAACCACCATGGAGATGCCTCAACTTCGTTGATGCCATGGGGAAAATGGGCGGTCCTTCCTCTGTGTAGATTTCTGCCTCGGGCACATCTAACACATTGGGGTGTTTACTAACCTTAAAATCCATGTAATCCATGATTCCGGCTACATAACGGTAGCGGAAACCCGACTCGATGCGCCATCCCATGAAGAGACCAGGCGACATGTTTGGTTCGAGAGTCCTCTTGCCTACCTTACGATCTCGGTAATACACTAATTGACCAAAGCATCTGCGAACGCCATCAAATTTAGACCTAGTTAGGGCCTCCCATTGTGACTTGGCCGGGTCTGACAATGAAGGACGATCAAACGACATCGACATGCAGGCGTATGGAAACGAGTATGTGTGAAACTCATACGGCAACCCGGATTGCATATGAACTGCACGGCAACACTCTTTCTCCTCACGAATGTCTCGCTCTAGCGTGGCGTTATGGGGCCATCTATTGGGGAGTGAGACTTCGGGGAGCAAGCCTACTTCATGAGCGGCTTGTTCCAGCTCGCCTGCTTCGTCCATTTTAATGAGGACACACGACGCTAATTCGTTTGCTCTTAGCCCCAAGAAATGTCTAAAGTTCTTGGCATGGTTGCTAGCTGTCCTGTTTACCATGGGATAGGCTATCCTGGCGCCAGAAAACGTGTCCCTGACTATGTGGAAAACCTTAGTCCCACCCGTCCCCTTACCAGCAAAATCATCGCCCTTGGCCATGATCACGTCGTCAGTTGACAATTGCTCGAATGGTCCTTTGGGAGGATCAAGCATGTCATCATCTCGGGTGTCGGGCTTCCTTGCCACCCTCTTGCTGGTGGACTTGGAAATTTGACAAACAGGACAATAAGGGTTCTTAGGATAGTGGGTTAATATGTGTGGCTCTTCGAAGGCAGCGGCTTTTAGCGCTTCGGGTGCGCCGTCCAACTCGACATCCGCAATCTCCAACAATGTCTTGTCGTCATCGGGATGTGGAGGAACCCTCTCCGCGCCCGCGCTAGGAGCAGCGGCTATTGAACCCTTACTTTGACTAGAATTGGATTTTGGTGAAACATCGGAATCTAGATCCATGGGCTCACTGACGACATCATCCGCCACACTTGGTGTGGAAAGCTCCCCATCTGAAAATATGGAATCTTCATGATTGGTGGAAGCCGGGGAGGCGTCAACTGCACCCATTGGTTGCAACCGGTCTGGTGGAACAAAATCAACAGGGGTGACTTCTTCGTCATACTGAGGAACATATTCCACAACACGGCTAGCACAAATCCGATGCTTTCTAGGAATACGAAGTCTACACTGGGGGACTACGCTGGGCGGCACTAGATATGGTACCTGCTCGCGAGGGTCCCAAATAAACATGTACCCTTTGTCCATTACTGTCTTCCCTATTGACTGCGCCGGGGGGCGCTCGTTTAGGATGTAGACCTCTTCTCCCTCAAGGATGGGACTGCCTTTAAACGCCAACGATTTCACGCTTTGTTGCGCACCCCCCCCGTGGTGAAGTTCACGGGGTTTTGTGAGGGGGCGGCATGTTGTCTCATGCTTGAGGTTAAGGCTTGTTTGCCGAACAAATGTCTCCCAGCGGCGGTGTCCCATAGCCAGGAGATCTTCCCATTTGAGAAGGCAGGAAGCGCATGAACCTGTGCAGCCGCAGCGGTAGCTTTTGCCTTCTCCTTTGGGAAGCGGAGAGCCCCTTGTATTTGTTCTGCGAGTCATGAAGGAACGCGCATTGCTTTGCGCGGCAGCTGTTGTACGCGTAAAACGCACATGGTGTTCTCGCTTTCTCCTGGGCGGTCATGTCGGCCGCACGCTTGACCTGCTGTGACCTTGGTGTGGTCGGAGGTGTTGGTGTGTTGCCTTTCGGCTTGGCCTTTGGTGGGCTTCTTGGAGCCTTAGACTTGGGGCCCGGGGCTGCGTGAACATCAACAGGCTGCTGTTTATCCTTCTTGGCCTTTTCCTTCTTTTCTTTCTTCTTGTCCTCCTTGGACTTCTCTTTCTTAGGTTTATCGGTCTTGGCGGGATTAGCGGGGATTGCTTTAGGGTTATATGTGGTGGCTAAAATCGGCAGTATGGGAATCCCGCAACTTCTTGTCGAAGGCCTGCCTGTTAGCTTTAATCCTCTCTAACTCTATATGCAAATCCACCTTCTCCCACAACCATTTGGTGGACCGACGATGGCTTCCTAGTGGGGATTCTCTTGACTTAGCTATTTTGGCGGCTAATGGGGAGAACTGCTCAAGCTCGTCCAAAAGATGATTAAACAGAGTTGTCTCTCTCGGCAGATCCTCAGAAGGGATCGCGGCAAGGATGTATCTGTACTTCTCCTGGAAGGTTATGAGGTCCTCGGTCTTCTGCCCCTTTAGCCTTAGGGTCAGCAGGTTCCTTTCGCCTAGCATGCCGATTCTGTCCTTCTCTAGTTGAAAATGACGAAAAATCGTGGCAAGCATGACGCGACCACAAGGCATGCCAATACCTGAAAGTCGAGATTCTTCCACCATCCGTTGAAAAATGATACCAAATCTACCTGATTTGCACACCTTCAACATTTTCGTGGCAATTTCCCGATCAGTTCTGGGGAACCGCTTGTCACCACGAAGGGCGGAATCGTCCTTGGTAAGACATTCTTGGGCCCAGTGATACAAGTCTGAACCTGGGGTTTTCTGCAACGAACCGATGTTCATGAGAACCTGGTTGATGTAGCCCCGTGCTTAACCCGAATCAACTGGTATGTCGGGTAGAATCAGGTTTGTCAAGCCCTTGACATAAACAATCTCGGACTCATGTTCCGCATAGTCGGTAATTTCCGAACTAGCAGTCGGGGTTGATTCTACTTTATGATCTTCTTTATTCATAGTGAGGTGTGGGCACCTAATCTCCCGATGCTTACCTCCACACATCCTACACGAGTCTTCTACTTCACTATCACTAGACGAAGATGACGAACTCGGGGAGCTACCACCGTCTGCTTTCTTGGTCCGCTCGAAAACGGGGAAAGAAGGTGGCAAGACCCTTGCTCCTGGTTGTGGTGGAGGTGGTTGCGTCGAAGACGCTGCAACATTCGCGGCGGAAGTGGGATACCCGGCCGGCATCGGAGCACAGGCACAAGGTTTCGGACACGCACTTGGGACCCCAGTCGACAGACCCGGTGGTGGTGTTGGTGTCGTACGAAACGGCAATGGCACTCCATGTTCAGGTGGTGAGGGGATAGTTGGTTGTCCAGCTTGCACTAACGACAAGACTTGGTTCAACATCTCCCTCGTCTGACCTAGCTCACGTTCGAGCGCAGCAACATAAATTGAGTCGCGCTGCACAGGGGTGGCAGCACCATGTGGTGTGCCGACAGGCGTTCCGACGTAGAATTCTTGTGGAGCCCTTTTTTGAAAACCCTTTGGAATTTGCATATCGACAGGTTGTGCTGTCGGAGGCATATTGTTATGCTGGGCCGCCTGAAAAGGCGCAGCAAACTCGGAGCTTTCGTATTGGTGGCTCAACGTCGAACGGACGCTGTGAAGCGGTTGTGTTGAGGGCGCTGGAGAAACTGCCGGTGGTTCCTTTGGGGAACTTGGGACTGGCGATCTCGCGGCCAATTGTAGTTGCTGGGTTAAGTAGGCGTTGTGCCTCTGAAGTTCTATCAGTTCGGCACTTGCGGTCGTATTGACCTGGTCTACAAACGAATGCTCATCCACAGGGGCCGGATGGCCTTCGGCTGTGGGGCTATCGAGAGGATGGATCTCAGTGTCGCCGGAATACTCTAGGTCCGTTGGACCGGCGAAGGGCTCTTCAAGCTCGAGGTCTCTGTCTTCGTGCTCAATCACGGAAGGCGGAAAGATGGTTGGGCCTGAGTCAGCCTCCGATGCTGCTGTCCGAACCCGCGCCTGCGGCAGCGGCTGGTGGGTCTTGGTTGTCAACGAACAAGTTCAAAGCATCGACGGCTAATGAACCGAGTTCTGACAAGGACGTCACCTCAACCTCTGCCTCCTCCATGCCAGCTCCTGACGAGTCCGCGCTTAGAGCAGCGGCTTGCGTGGCGGCTGCTGGCTCAGACCTTGGGTCGGGGTTAGGGGCAACACTTGGTCCTAGCGAAGAGCCCGCGCCGGAGGCTGCGGCTTGCGCAGTCTCTGAGCGTGGGGACCTAGGAGGTGTAACCCTTGGCATTGGGCCTAAAAGAGGCGGACTATTAGAGCTCGTAGGTTGGTTAGACCTACGGCTGATAACCCATGAAAGTGACAAGGGTTCCGGGATATCAGCCCCAAACAACCACCACAACCTACGAAGTGGGAGGTGTTCGGAAAGGTACCCGATAGTATGGAGAACCCTGGCACGGGTGGGTACACGACGGGGAGTCCCTGAAGGGTTAGTCCCCGTAGTGTAGTTGAGGGGTGTGCGGACGAAAGGGAGCACAGTACGGCAACCTAACGAAGTGCACGAAAGCGAACAAAGCTTGCACGAGCGAACGCGAGCGAACGGCGTGCGCGACAGCTGAAAAGCACGACGGAAGCGCGCTTTTCTTGAGCCAATACATGTCGGTATGACATGAAGTGTTTGACTGTACATGACGTCCCATTGAATGACAAGTTAGGGGTTGAATCCGTATGGAAAACTTTGACTTTGACGAGTAGTGCTGGCAGGGGATCGCTTGAAGGGGTCGAAAGAAGCAACGTGCAAAGCAAGGATCCGAAAGAAGAATAGACTCAAGAGCTGGTGTTGGATTTTTGGTTTCTGGTACCCTGGATTCATGAGTGACACCACGTTTCACAATTTCTGCTCACCTTTTAGAAAGGCAGGAGGTCTTCGTACCATAGCGCTGCATGTCCCACCCTACCCTTGCAGGAAATCAACCCCGGTCTGGAGATTGTGCAAGCAAGCTTCTGTAACGATAGCCAAGGCCTGCTTGGTCTTTTCGCATCTTGTATTCCTTGGTGCAACATGCTGGCAGCAACCACTGTTTGACATCGAGCCAAACACCAGCACATGGCAGGCAAGGTGCGTCCACCCAGTTATGGGTTTCTTCAAAGACTGTGCCCACCAGGTACCAGGTTGCAGCGATGAAGTGATTCACGAGGAGGAGCAAAAGCTCAGCATCAACGAGCAGTGGCTGCGCCAAACTCATTGGACTATATATGTATATTATATATATACAGTATAGCAGTGTAGCTCAGCAAGATAAGCATCGACATGCGTGCATCATGTCTTTATGCAGATTGATTTGGAGAATGCATGCCCCTGCTTTGCATTTAAGAAGATGAGATAACACAACCAGGCTTCCCACAATCAATTTGCAAATGTTGAGCAGGATGAACACGGCCTCAGAGGTTCGCAGTTGAACAAAGCCTGAGAGGGCTGCTCTTGGGCCGCTCCCAGCAGCACTGTGGGGAGAGGAAAGTAGTGTTCATTCAAATTACAGTACAGTACAGAAATTCACTGATATGTAGGAATGCAGGGTACAGTACCTTTGACCTGCTGCATCGCTGACGTCCTGTGTCATCCTTAGTTGCAATCATGACAATCTGCAGACCTTGTCCCTGCCTCAGATGTAATTCGGTCCTTGATCGTCGCCAATATCCGCTTGAGCTTGACCTCAAAACCCCGCAGGAGCTGTATCGTAATGCATCGATGTGCGGCGACACCTTTGGCCACATTGTGACGAGGCACGAGTCGAAGGAGGCGAACAGTGCGAACCTGACACACGTTGATAGAATCATTCATGTTTATCATTCTAATTCTCTTGATGATGGACACCTTACAGCCTGCAACTTGAAAAAATACATGCAAGAAGAAACGAAAAAAAAATACAGTAATTAGGTGTGTCCTCCAGAACAGTCACGGTTGAAGCAATACAACCCATGGCACAGGTCAAACCACGCCACGTTGGCTCTTACGCAGTGGTTTACTCTAGACTCTTACTGAATGCGTGCGATTCTGGAAATTCAGCCAAAAAGCCACTCGCAAAGAGCGCAAAAGGCGGTTGACGCCACCAGGATCTGACGTGAAATCCGTGCTGTAGATCTCCCTGCCATGGTGTCTTGACTTGCAATGACATGCCGGTTACGCAACATCAACCAACGGGCCCTGGAACGCAGTCACAAAGGCAGTGCGGGCTTCCGTTAGGGCCGGGCCGTTAGGGCAATTTAGATTGTGGCGCTGGGCAGCTCTCAAGCAGAGCTGCCCCAGTTCCATGTATATAATTCTACATCTTTCCTTGTCACCTGGCATGATACAAATTAACTTGGTCCAAGTCGCACAAACGTAGACACCCAGTCCGGGCCGCAAACTGCCCTGTGCTGGGGCCGAGGGCGGTGGGGCATGCGGCAGGCACTGGTCAATGGCAGCATTTCTCAAGTGCTCAAACACATGAAAAGGCCATTGCTTCGTCAAGAGTCAAATCCAGGATAAACCATGTTCTCCTGAGCCAACTGCCATGAGAAGGTTGGCCACAGCAAGGTGTCCGTAGATCCGAATAGCACCGCCAAGTTGCATGTAGTTCTTGAAGATTCTCCACGGGCTCGTGACAATAGCGCCTGTATCACTCGAGCTGGACGGGATTCGGAATCGAATGATTGCAGCATTAGGGCCCTTAGAGTCCCTAATGACTAGGGGAAAGTGACACTGCACAGTTTTGTACAGCATCTTGTCTCCTTCTATATAATGTTCCCCGCAGCCACCAAATGGCTGCCCGCCTTCACTGACATAGCCCGTGATAAGTGACATCAAAATATCCAATGTCCAGAAAATCTGTGTTGTCCAATCCATCCTAGCGTTCAATGCAAAGGAATCTGTGCACTATGCACCAGCTACTACAGCAAGCAGCACTCAGGCACCGACGTGGTCGTGAACCAATGAGGGTCCTTGGCAAGAGAGTGGAGGATGTGAAAGCGAAATGGAAGGGACAAACAATCTCAGGTTTGGGCTGGATCAAAAGCAGCCAGGGGGATCGTGCAAATGTCCTGAGTTCGGCACTGCGCAGGGGCGGACTGAGCTGACGCACTCCCAATTTCCCGGCACTCAGCCACTCGCGTAGAACAGGAGCAACATACCAATGAGGTCCCACGCGACACCTCAGAACGCCACCACAAGTGCAAAGCATGAACTGACAAGCATGTTACAAGCTGGCCAAGGGGCGGAGTGGATCATTTGGCCGCAAAATGAAGCCACGGGTCTGCTTTTCCAGGGCGTTTTCCTTGCCAACACAAGTTCAACGGATTTGCATCCTAGAGAATACGAAGCGCAGCCACGGCTCCTCCAGAAAGTACTGAGACGCATGGTGTTTGTGAGCCACCCTGTCGCGTGGGTTGATTCATAGATCAGAACAACTTATTCCCTGTATTCCACACACGAGAACTAGAAAAGCCCGAAACATGTACACCCATCCAAAACGCCCAAAACATTGCCCCAGGACATTCTAAGTTCCAGTTCGAGTTCAGTGTAGGGCGAAATATGCTGCCAAGGCCAGAGTTCCAGTTCGATCGGAGAAACTTTTTGAGCGCAGTGCGCCAGTGCGCCCTGGGGAGTTCCAGCTGGAGTTTTCAGTTCGAGCTCCCCATGTTCTTGATTGCTTCAGGGCATCAGGAATTCTAGTAGTAAGCTTCCGTGGTGGGGGTTGGAGGTTGAGTTGTCCAGTTCGAAGTGCGATATGTTCAGCCTGTTGCATCACGTTGTCGAGTTTTAGATTATTCCAGTGCCCAATATATGTAATTACTTTGCATCTCTTTTGTTCATCCTATGGTTGGGTGCTGCGCCCTCCCCGATCCTCTTCTTTCCCCCCTCACTCTGCTGCTTTAACTGTGTCTGGGATGAATTCTTGCCAAAAGTGATCGATCTTATCAGAATAAAATGGGCATTTGAGGGTGTGTCTCAGTAGGTTCTATAGGTGTTGAGTACGGGTGAGCTGATTTGCGAGACGAGAAGCGTTCGTTGATGTTCTCCTGAGAATCTTAAAGCTGAGATTGGCCTTTGCTTCTGAAATGATTCTTGGCAAACACGTCTAAGGGATTCTACGGGACTATATATACATAATGCCATCATATCCGGTTTGAGTTGTTTGGTTTCGACTTCCACGGTTTTGAGGAGCTGGCCGTCCAGTAAATGATGGTCAAAGTACGTGCATATCATATATCAAGCTTTACCGAAAGCAACCCCCTTACTCTGACTTTTGCTGTGGCGGCCTAACTAGAACTAGCACAGCCGACTGGAGGCCTTCGATTCCACCAGAAAATTGCCACGCCACACTACACATGTGCCCACGCTTTCGTCTTTCTTGCTCGTGATGTGGTTCCCTTGCTTTCATCATGCCCCCCGTCCACCTGCCACGTCGAGACTAGCATAGGAGACAAGTGACAAGTGTTTTAACCGAGCACCTTGATTACAGTACAGTATCTTGATTTATCAGCTCTGCGGGTGCCCTTCTAATGTAGCGCAAATAACTGTGGTGAGAGGAAGCTCTCCTGGGAGAAATCACAAACAGGAAGGGCTTGGCTTGGCTCTTTACTCACCAAATCCTGGTCACTTGAGTCCACAACTTTCTGCTGCCTCGGGGGTTGAGCTGAAATTCGGGGCACGCTACGCCTTTCGGTTTGCGGTTTGGGGGCATCTTTCACCACCTGGCTTTGTGGCGGCTACCTTAACTTTCAGCAGAAGTCGCGCACCAGACGGTGTGCTTTTCCATACTCCCTCCCTTCCTCCCTCCCTCCCTCCCTCTCTCCTTCCCTCTCTCCATCCCCCGGGCTGAATGTGCCCCCTGTAGCCAACTTCCCGCCATCGCCCTGTGTCGAATGTTCTGGGAAAGCACCTCATGGTCTCCTCTCTCATTTCTTCCACCATTCGCGTTGGCCTCCTCGGAGTTAAGGCAACTTGCACACACGTTTGCAGCTCAGATGGGGCCGTGTGTCATACCAAGCGTCTGCGATGAGCTCAGCCACATGTCACGCAAGCTAAGGGAACTCACATGGGCCTCAGGTTGCCAGGAGGAGGAGAAAGGGCAAACCACTAAAATACCAATTGGGTTGAAAAATCATGTAATTACAACACGTACTACGACGGCTTCTCAGCTTCACGCATGTTTTCTGCTGCTGGGCAGCCGGACCCTGCTCACAAAAACTGTTCCAGCAAATGAGGTTAGCATCACCAGGAATAAATCTCTATAACTTTCCTTTCCAAGACTTCGTCGACCAAGTTCATCTCTATGCAGGCTGAGCTCCGTTCTTCCTTGGCTCCTTCTCAAGCACCTGGCACGCAAACCGCTATACATATACATCCATGTGTACAGACTTGTTTGTTGTCATTGGTTCAAGCCGCTCACCGATGCGTTAAGCTGTGATAAGCTTGATTTGGTGTTTGGCGATATTTCTTGTGCTGAGCCTCTTGATTGATTCGCTCCTTTGGGATCTCCTGTCAAGTCAATGTTTCGCCACGCTCTTCCTTCCTTTTTGTTCATGAAGGTGTACCAAGTCTGGCCTCTTCGTTGCTGCCTCTTTCTGATCCGTCCTCAGGTCTTTATTGGACTGCCGGCATAAGCTACCTGCTGCTGCTGCTTCTTCCTCCCCAACTTGGCCCAGGGCATCCTTCACGTCCGATGTCCCAACTTCCTTACTGTGATGCTTTACTGGGACAAAAATAGGATGGGCGACGCATGGGTGACAAAGCGCACCTCAATTCCTGAGGTGGTCTGTGACAGGTGGCGAAGCTTGCTCCTTCGAAAGGTAAAGGAACTTGAAAACTAAAGGCCTCTGAAATATGATGGACAAACACAAGGTGGTGTGAGACCGTCCTCAGTTTCACGATTTCCTTGGCCAAATGCACAATCACCATTTGTATACATCCAATCTCTTGCTGGTGACTCTAATTATCTAGTTACTCTAATTCAGTAAACCTCTTCTGACACGTGGCCCTCTCTTGGGCTTCACCAACATGTGCCAGCTGCTGAAGCAACCATGTAAAGGATTTGGGCCTCAGGTGGGCTGAGTAGGCTGAAGCAAGAGAATGCCAAAGGGATCAAATGATAGGACCCAGGACCAAGCAGGATAATGTGCAAAGGCAACAATGAAAAGCATCGACAATGACTTCGCAAGTTTGTTCAAGTGAATCATGTGCCTTATTTACTTGTTTGTTTTCGTCCAATTCATGCCGCTCCTAGCGTCTGACTGAAACCTTTTTTGTTCATTAGTGTTCTCATTTGTTCACTCGTTCGCCTCGTCATCCATTCGAATGTCCAATCTGCAAAAGGGGTCGAGCTCTTCAAAGCTTACGTCTCAGGCAGCGGCTCTGCGTCAGCCCTTCGCATACTTTCCTGGCAGCTGGCGAGTAAAGCCAACTGAAGATCTCGGTTCACATACCCAGCGCCTGCCTTCCCACGTTGGCAACAACGGTGACCAAAGGAGCTTGAAGGAGAGATGTTATGAAACTTGTTCCTGTCTCTCGTCACGTGCTGGCCGTCTGTAGATTCAAAACATGTATATGATGATTGCCGCAGGTAAGCCCTCTGAATCTGGACATTGCATGATCATCAGGAATTCACTCTGATTGGAGCCAGTGGCGGCAAGATTCACACGAAGTCAACTGGTCCAATCCTGAAACAAATCGTGATGCGTGAAGCTTTCCCAAGAACTTGGAAGTGAATATAGCCCCTGCCGTGCCTGGGCTATTGGGCCAAAAGGCCCCAATACACCCAAGCCCCGCAAAGCCAAAATGGGCTAGCAGCAACGATAGTTTTAGCACTTCTTACATCTGCCTTCCCATATCTACTGCATTCTAATGATTCTAATGTATTTGCATGTATTTGCTATAACATTTTTTTCCAGAAACACATGTGATCACTTTGCCGTGACATACACCTATAGCCTAAACATGTATGCAAGGAGGTAGCGACCTCCGCAAAGAGCTTCAAGAGCTAAAGGTGCACTTCATCCGGGGTGGGCACCGACAACAAAAAGGAGCGCGCATGTGCAGCCCAGCAGCGTCCTCACCTGACAGCCGCGCAAAAGTGCGAGCAATGTATATAATCAACTTTTCATGCTGCTCATGCACTTCGTGCCCCTGGGCCATCAAACTGCATTCAATCATCATTCATGCCAGCGCTATTAGGTTGGAGGCCATCGCTAAAAGGTTTGAGGCGATTGCGTCTGTGAGAGGGTTTCTTATTTACCAAGAACTCAAGAGGCCTGGCAGGCCCGGCACGCCCAGACTTCTGTGCAAGCTGACTCGACCCTGCGGGTTGGACAAATCAAAATAAGAAATTCTGAGGGAATCACCAGAAAAGTTGTTGCCAACAAACTCAATTCAGTAGAGGTGGAGTATCCGGTTTTCCGCCCTGCAGGATGCAGCACTTCGATCTATGTAATGGTGCCCGCGATGCACACAGCATCGCTTGGGCGAAAGATTTGGCCATTGCAGGGGCGATGAGCCATTCAACCAAGTCTTCAAGTTGCAACCCATCAATCGGCATTTCCATATCCGCGATCCTTCTGGGCCTCGGTGCACTAGTACATCTTCCTATTGCTACTTGCTACTGCACATTTTTTGGGAGGTCGCTAAGACCAGCTCAGCTCAAGCCAATGCACTTCTTCCTCGCACCTGTCTTGAAAAGCTGAGACTTGAAGCCCTGTCCGCAAAGCGCGGTCTATTCTCAGCTGTGATCCGCACATTCACCGAAACGGATGAAGATGAAGTCACCCGACCTCGCCAAAGGCACTGCAAACGAAAACCGCAAGGCCGCAAAGCGGCCTGCAATGCTTGATTTTTCGCATAGCAAGCCCACACTCATTGATTGACACACACATAAGTTTCCCTAAACACCTAGGAAGCGAATCATTGAATCATTGGTACAGGCGCTATCCTGCGTCCAAGGTAGTAGCGTTCTTGTAGCTCCTAGCTACTTATATAGCTCCTAGTAGCTACCTACCTAGCTACTACCTACCTCCTAGCGGCCTACCCCCCCCTAAAAAAGGAAAGCAGAAATAATGAAAGCATCTGAGCCCTGAGTCGCTTCAGTCAAAAATGTGCCAAGTACAAGGCATGACGTCCGGAGCATTCCATGAGGAACCTCTCATGAAGCTGCTTGGCCTAAAGGATCAACCAGTTCCGTCCAGCATGTTCTGAGGAACATGACATCCTAGCTTGACACAGGCGGAAGTTGAGGAAGTGTTGCCGCCTTTTTCCAATCTCTGCACAAGGTTGGGATGCATCCTAATCAACTATGGAAAACACACGCGGGAGGCACAGTTGCAGGCAGCGGCTTTAGAGTGTCCAACACGTCACACTGAGTCTCATCTGCCAATCCAACCGGCCAACCCATTCTGGGGTGTTGCCTTGGCAAAACTAAGTAGTAGTTCTACAATTCCCTTTAGAGGAGGGCATATGAACGCTCTGCAAATAGAACCCAATGAGCCAATGAGCTCCGGTCGGCAAACTTGTTACCTGCCAACCAAATACTGAGCAGAGTAGAAAACAGCGTGCATCGCATCACTGCGCATTGGATCAAAAATGGATCACCAAAGAGCACCAAGGAGAATCTTGCCCTAGCGGCCCTAGCGGCCCTAGCATATGAGTGGATACAATGAGTCTTCAAAACTCTATGTACTAGAAAACATGTAAAGGTTTCGGTGTCAATGACTGCGACCTGCTTGAGTGATCAAATCGGCAGGTCAAATGCCGGCTCATGTGTTTGCCTCGAAAATCCTGTCCTACAACACAAGAAATGATAAAAATGGTCTGATGTTCCATCAAACCGGGGAACCAATGCGGTTCATGCTGGTGGATTTCTAAATCGTGCAAAAGCAAAAGTTTTCCGAAATAAGAACAAAGAATTCAAACAAATCTCACACCCAGGCTTGTTGTCTGAGCGTGCTCATTCCAGCAAGGTTGCGTGGGTCTCGCCAACTGCCTGCGCGTACGTGTGACATGTTTCACTACGCCACATGTCTCTGCAGGAGGTTTGGAGATGAAGTCGTTCTCGCTAGGTCTACGCAATGCAAATGCTGCTAGTTTGTCACGAGTGCGTCAATCAGTTGCTAGTTTGAGGTGTTCCCGTTTGTCTACTTTGATGGGGGCCTGCCGCTCAACAATGCCCCGACTGGCAAGAGCGTGCTCTTGTCGAAGTGCAGCGTCCACACACCGTTCATCTTGCCCTTGCACTTCGCTTGTGAGTTGCAGTCCTGAAACCTCCCGTGGTTCCTGTGCGTGAGCATCAGGCTGTAGATTGTGAATCTCTGGGGTCACCAGCTTCTTGGTCTCTTTGACTGGCTTCGGCAGGGTCAGCGAAATGCTGAAAGGCAGCGTTGGCGACCCTTTGGAGCTTTTCCTGGACTTGGGTGACTTGGGAGACCTTGGTGTCCGCTTGGGCGAGCCCACAGACTTCCGGCTCACTGACTTCAACGCCATTCCTTCTTTGTGCCAACGAAGCTTCCCGTCTTCGTCAAAGTTCCCAGTGGCCTCAAAAAGGAATTGCTAAATAGTGCTAAATGCGCGCTTTTGATCAGAATGCCGTTAGCTCAATCTCAAATTTCAAAGTCCCCACTCGGCTGAAGTCTTATCATGACAACTCGTGCTGTAACATTCCGTGCCTGGCTGTCACACGGATCAAAACTGCTGGCCCCCTGCACTGGGAGTTCATAGGTCAGGGGGATGGGTGTGGATGGCAGAGGAAGCTTTCTGAAAAAATGTCTGCCACTGGCACAACGGCACAACATCTTTTCCCATTTCCAAACATGTAACAGCTGATATCTTGCGGCACTTTCTCACACATCACCTCTTGGAAATGCACTAGTTGATAGCTTGGCTCGCTTGTGCATGTTCCTCTCATCGGTTCCTTGCACAATCTCCCTTCAACATGCTTTCCTCATTTCAATGTGATGGCCAGAGCCTGGATCCTTTAGACGAGGAAAGCGACCCTTTATAGATTGGTCCTTGGATGGCCTGTGGTTCTCTGCTATCTGACTGCAATCTTGGGAGAAGTAAAAGTATAATGTGTGTATGTATGTGTGTGTGTGCTTCCTGTTGCTCGCATCTCATTTTGTGTGCACGAGGCCTTCATCACCATCTGCTCCGAAGCCGCAGGTTTTGGAAGTTGCGACACAAAGGACGCAGAGCGGCAGGAAGAAAACGATTCTCGCTCTGACTTCCTCCCCGCTGATTCCTCAGAGGGTGAATGTGAAGATCTCTTGCCTGCTGACTCCTCTGAGGGCCACAATGAGGATCTCTTACCTCCTGACTCCTCTGAAGGCCATGGAGCCTTTTTTGGCCCACCATCCTCCGACTGCCACACTTCGCCGGCAAAAGCCTTCGAACCAGACCTGGTAGGGAAATGCATGGCCCAAATACATTGGAAATGCTGTCTAGGCATGTCTAGACTCTAGACTCTACCATTGGACGAAAAAAAGACAAGCAAAGCAGCACCAACAACACTTGGGGGTTGCCCAAGCAAAGAAGCAATGAGTTGCCCAAGCCTGCCAGCCCAGAATCCAGACCTTGCTCTGATGTTCGGTCAAAAAACATCGCCTCGGACCTCTTCAGTGTGCCACCCTTCCTACTTGCAACGCTGGCACGGAAAAGGATCAGTTTCCCCATCAAACATGCAGCCAATAACGTGTTCCGCATTTCATGCCCTTGGCCTTTCAGCTGCCCAAAAAAGAAAGAACTATATAGAAGAGCACTGAAGAGCACCACACGTTCCGGCAGCCAAAATCCCTGAACATGACCAGCACGGTGCTCCCTTCAAATGCACAAGAGATGCAAGGAACGGTTCACGATGCAAACAATTGAAAACAGTGCATTGTCCCCAATACGCAATGAGAGCTAGCATCAGTGTTGAATGTGTTTCTTGCTTTCTTGGGCCAAGCTGTTGAATTCCGCTGGTGGTGTTGGCGAATTAGCACGCTCACTTGAGCGCAGTGGACTGCTGGCGACTGCTACTGACTGTGTGACGCTGAGTTCGTTTTTTGCAGGCTTCTTGTTCCTAATAGCTTCTCGCTCCTAGTAGTAAGGCCAGGAGCCCCTAGTAGCGTCCATGCTCCTAGTAGCGATGCCCTTTGCCCCTAGTAGCGTTGGATGGGCTTGTTGGATGGGCTTGGCCCGGTTGCACGGAAATCCCTCCACACCCAAGCCAGGCGAAAAGGCACGTACTGCCCTTGATGATCACAGAGAAACCAACAGCTTGACAGCCCCAAAAATACCACAAAGCAGCTGCCTTGTAGTTGCAGAGGGCTAGCAGTCACAAAGTGACGCTGCACGACTTACACTATTCTTGCCATATTTAACCAGGGACCGCATCCCTTTCCAGGATCAATGCTGGCCCCCCTGTCTGTTGCTGTAAGTGCCGAACACAGAAGAGACGCTCGAGAAGGCACTACCAGTACTGAGCTTGCTTCTCTGCCGCCCTTGGCATTTGGATGCATTCGGTTTGCCCACACACTCTGACAGTCTTTCATTGGTCGCTGCCAATGGACTATGCTCAGGGTGGCACAACGTGAGTTCAGGTCGGGAGGGCTCAAAGGGCTGGCAGGGCTGCCGGGACTGCCCAGGTCGCTCTCGCTTTCGGCATCCTGTCAACCATGTTCACTTGCGGAAAACTCACAAAGTAAGTAAAGAAAGAACACTTGGCAGGTCTTGCAGTGCTTCTTCTTCCGAAGTCTCCACTGTTGTGCATGTGGTGTTGTGCAAGGTTGCTTTCTAGTCCGGCCTGGTGCTGCGCAACAACAATCTTCCAGACGTCTCGCAACCTGTGGCTGTTGGCAAGTGGGTTTTCTTTGCTCCTGCCGCGGGCATACACGACATGCACATGGCAAGGGAGCTTGGCACGTACAACAGGAGACTTGCTGATCTTTGGTCCTCTTTGGCGCAGCTAAAGGCTCTCTCCCTTTTTGTGCGTAAGTCTTACCAAGTCAAGAGCGCGACTCAATTGAACAGTGCACACAACGGGAGGGAGCCTCTATCAAAAAAACATAAATTGTCAAGTCTCCTGCTGACTGACACTCTCTCTCTCTCTCTCTGTCTATCTCCATTGCCTGGCTATGGCCCTCATTTTAGAGGATACGTGGAGCGATAGCGAAGGACAAGGAATGGAGCGGAACTGAAGTTGAAAGGCGAGAAATTATTTTGCACTTCTCGCGGAGTCTGCTCTACATGCGAAACAGAGTCTAAGTCCAGGCGACTTTCCACTTAGGAATGTGGCCCACTGCCTCATAGCACCAGTCTCTTGTAGAATAGCGTTTTTCAAAACACTTCTTTCGAAAAAAGGCCTTCTGAATTGAATGTCCAGTGAGCGTAAACGAGAGCATCCGAAACAATACTGCCTTAAGAAACATTTCTTTTGACACAATTTGAGTGTTCAAGGAACCGATTTCATGAACTTCATGCAAGCTGGGCCATGTCTTTGTGTTCTACAGCTCTCTGTCCTCTCCGAGGTGGTTCTCAGCAAATGCTCAGCCTTTGAATCTGGATCACGTCTCTTCGAAAGTGGGAGCCACAGGATCAAATTGTTGTTACTGGGCCAGTGTTGCCTCTTGATCCAAAGGTCAAATCTTTAAAAGCATGTTTACATGTTTCCTATGTATATGCCAGCCAGATACACTGTTGAACCGTCAGAAACGAAAGCATGCCATTATATACATGCTATTACTCGGAGAAAGCATGACTTTTTCTCGGCCTCATCTTCGAAAACGAAGCTTCTCTGCTGCTGCAGAGCCGCTCTCACCTGTCAGGCTCAAAATGACAGTTTCACTAAAGCGAAACGCGTGCTTTGAAAAAGCTTCAAGCCCCATGGCCGTCGTTTCCAGCGCCCCACGGCCTGGGGCTTTGCTTCAATCGATCCTCCAAATGTTGGGTCTTTGAAGAGCGGCTGCCAGCGCTTAGAACGACAAGGAGCTTCAGGCACGGAGCCCGGCAAGTTGACATTCACAGTTGCGGCGGTGGACGGTGTCACAGCTGCAGCTTGTGCTGCTGCAGCTGCAGCTGCTGCGGCTGGGGCCTCCTAAGTGCAAAAAGGTGCTGGGCTTTGGGCACAACACAACTGGGCTCTTTGTGCCCCATCTTTCTCCAGCTGAGTGGCCAAAAGTGACCCACTTTCATGCGTCAATTTGCCATTGCTTTTGGGTTTCTTTGTGTCCTGAAGTTTGGTCAATACTCTGAAAATTCCAGAGGATCAAGGAACAATGCAGCCAGCTGTGGTCCTTCTTCTCTCGTGAAAAGAATAGTGCGGATGGAAGGCGCAATAACATGGCATCGGGAATTGGATGGAACCAACCAAGTGATCTACTACCTGAACCACATTCCCAGATACTTCTCCGCCAGTCTACTGTACAGTTGCTATCCTAAACAAGTTGTTGTAAGCATGGCTGGAAGTTTGCCTGATAGGTTGTCAGCTTTGCTGAGACAACCCCTTGAACCGAAGAGCAGGGTTGTATACCTGAAAAAGGAATTGTAGAATCAAATGCAACGGCCTTGAAACTAGAAAAGCTGACCAGACTCAAGTGCAAATTCCCAAGCTGACAGTGCTTGGCTTGCTGCCACTTGTTTCTTCACCTCTGCAGAGGGGACTGACCTGAATGGACCTCAGACAAAGCAGAAAATATGCCAAAAGTCCCCCACATCTGAGTCAAGCCCCTTCGACTTTCAGCTGCTGGCCATCCTGACACTCCTCCAAGGTCATCAAAGTCGGGGGCAGTCGCAGGGCTTGCCTTGGATGCGGTAAAGTGTTCCATTGGTGCAAAAACACCGACATTCTGCCACGCTACGGGGGCAAAGGCTTGCCGCTTGGGTTATACTTGAACGTATACACCATGTCTTTGTCTGCCTCGGCCAAGAAGTGGATCAGCCCAAACTTACTGCATCGATGTGTCTGAGTGGCTTCACTCGCTGGGCATTGTAGCCCTCGGCCTGGTCTGGTCTTCGGATCACGTCTCGCCTCCGCAGAACTGTGTCACTCAACATCCAGCATGGCAGCTTAGAACGACTGTGTACCACAGAAACTGCCTACAACAAACATAGTACCTTGCAGGTGCGTTTGGATGATGGGGAGGGTCGGGGAAGTGTTCAAGGGTGATACCCTTTGTGACAACAGATCAAGCCCAAAAAGAAGCCTGCATCCTGCCTATCTCCATAGGATCGGCTGTAACGGTGGAGGTTCCACTGCAAGAAGGGTACAGTTTCAACCTCATTAGGCTGACAGAGTGGCTGAGAGTTGGCCCGCTACACGCATAGACTGGTCCAGATGCATGACGTGGGCTCTGCAACAGTTCATGCAATCCACATGACACCTTTGTTACTCAACGATCAGCTCTCCAAAGGGGATCGGGCTTCTTTGGCTCTCGTCATCTTTGGGATCATGCTTCAAAAATTGGTCAGCAAGAGGACTCGCTTCATGAAGAACCAGCGTGGATTGACCTGTTTTGCTAGATTCAGTTGGGAGGTCAGGGCAAAGGAGCGCAGACACTGTCAGAAAGGCCACCGACATTACCATGTCCTGACAAGAAGCAGTCAAACGAAAACTCAGGGCACTACGCATGCGCTTTGCAAAAGCCACAACCAATCCAAAGGATATAATATATATATATATACACACACCTACATACATATACATAGGTATACATATATATATATATCCCGCCGGGTTACTTAAGACAGTGAGATGTTTGTGAAAATCACATAAAATCACAAATGTTCTTTGATGGTTTGTTTCTTGAGAAAACGAATTGTGTCTGTTGATTGTTGACAATAAACCACGACGTCACTAGCCCACCAACCATCCCAACACGCCACGTGCGTGCATTGAACATAAAACCTGCTTTGCACAAAAGTTCTAAAAAGTTCTGACAAGAACATGCAAGTGTCCCACTATTTCGTGGCGTAGGAGAGGATCTAACGTATGGGTGTGCACTTAGAACCGAACGTTACCATCTCCACCCATCCCAACCCATCCCACCCCGCCCCACCCCAAAGCCAGTCGCATTGTGCAGCGTAGCGTAGAAAAGTTTCTAACGTATGGGTGCGCACGTAGAACCGAACGTTAACATCCCAACCCATCCCACCCCACCCTGCTCACAAACAGCTTTCATGTATTTTCAAAATCTAAGGTTAGATGCATAAAAATTCCAGACGGGTTTTTAAGACATGTGAGTGTGCAAGTGCACAAGACAACATGTGTGTGCAACACAACACGCACGCAAGCATCTTGCCCATCCACCCACCCGAACCCCCCCCCTTGAGATACACATGTGCGCGCAAGACAACATGCATAAGTACAGGCGAATGTGCGACAAACCCTCGGAAAAAAAAAAATTAACAGTTCTGAAGTCGTAACCCCACTGCGCCTTACATAAAACGGATTTAAAAAAGGAACGCGAAAGAACGCGTCTATTTCGCGCCAACTTCGAAAAAATGCTACGCACGCAAGTTACATATAAAAGTACACGTGAGGCAAAAACACTATATTGTCTCAAGTAAACCCGTGTGGATACATATATATATATACATTATAGATATAGATGTGTGTAATGCCCAGAGCGCAGTCCTCATGCCCATAAAGGGTACGGAAGCACTCTGCGCTCGCTGCATCAAAAACACGGGCACTGCAATCAGCTGAGGCTGTCAGCACCCAGGCCCCGTCGGGAGAGAAAACTGCGGACCATAGAAGACCTCAAAGTACTTCAAATCCTGTTTGTTCTGATGTGTTTTTCTTCGGGCCTTTAGACTTTCTTTCTTTCCTTGTTAGATTATGTTAGATTCTGTTGTTTTGGTTCACATGACTTCATGCTTGCATACAGCTGAGGGAAAGCCGTGCCTGTGTGGCCGCTAAAGGTCTTGCTTCGGAGCTTCTGTAGAAAGCGCAGCTATATAAATCTAAAGCACACTTACCAGGAGCGGTGCATTTCTTTCATCTCCTAGCTTCGACCCACTATGTGATTCTGTCCTCTCGCAACGGCCACTCTTCAAGTCGAAGAGCTTGGCAGTGCAGTCATCCACAGCTGCCACTATCTTGTCTCCGTCAGGGGAAAAGGAGCTCGAACGTACGCAGCCTCCATGCCTTCTGCAGAAAATGCAACACTTCATCAATTCATCACCCCCAACACACATTAGGCCAAACCTCGCGCGGCCACCTTTGAAGTTGAAGTGATAAAGACACCACATGTCGGCTGACTGAGTGTCCTTCCTTCTGAAGTCTCGGATGCATTCACCACTGATTGCATCGAAGAGCCGTGTCACACCATCAGCACAAGCGGTGAGGATGCTCCTGAGTTTGCCATTGCCAGAGGGGGGACATCGACAAGCTGCTCTCTTAGACAAGCATCTCTCCCTTCGGGCAAAACCTCGCCTCAGAGACCACTGATTAAGCTCTTAGGAAAAGCAATCCAATGAAAAAGGAACACATTCTGAGAGGAGTCAGCACCTTCAAAATGCACTGCCGCTACCTTCATTTTGCAAGCAGGTTGCGGTATGAACCCATCCAAAATGCCCTCGAAAAACCTTCTCACACAAACCACTCCGCACATCGTGCAGTTGCGCTGTACACTCTTTGGATGCAACCACCACCTTGGCCGCACTGCAACACGTTTGCGCACACATTCTGAAGATTTGAGACTGTATTTGTTCTCAACCGGACGCAGCATTAGTCATTAGACATGACCGAAAGGAAAGGAAGTTGCCTTCTTAAGATCTATGCAGCTCGAGTCTCCTTGCGAGCATCAGGTGAAAATGCTGCAAAAAGAGCGTTGCATTGCCTCGGCTAGCGGCGTTGCAAATGTTGGACTCCACTCTTCACAAAGAAGGGGCCAGTGTTCTCCAGACAAGGTGTTGCCTCTTTCATCCAGCCAACCCGCTTAAGCGCACAGGTGGGCCATTGCCAGCAATCAGGTAGACCACTCCCAAGCAAACCAACAAAACCAGCTTGGCATCGTGTGAAAGTACAGCATGTTGGATTCCCTGGGCGACATGAGGGACGAAGACTGCGGTTTGGGGACAAATTTTCAAACTTAGTGGCTTCGTGAAGCTCATCGTGTAGTTTTCTTGTGGTGACTCTTCGTGCTGCACTTTCGCTAAGAGAATGAGGTCTTTGAAAAAGTGGGCAGCCCAGGGCCGCCAGCCGTAGCAATACGGAATGTTTAGGGACCTCACAGCACCACAACCTGAACTTAACCTGCGCGCATCTTACTAGCCACAGAAAGGGCGGATATTGCAAACAGTGATCCCGGTGCCTTCCGGAGGTGATTCACCATGACACCAATTGAGTTGCGAACACGCCTCCTGTCCTTGAAGGTGTCACAGTAACAAACTCCTTTAGCCGATTTGGTCCGGGATAGTTAGTCTTCCCAAGTGCCCTCTTCAAGATCGAACAGTCCTTGTCGCAGTTTGAAAGCTGCTTCTCCGCCAACTGTCGATTAGACATGCAGCTCTCTGTAAAATCAGAGAAGTGGTAGAGTTTCAAGAAGGGTTCAAAAAGGACAGATATATCAGATATGTGGCTTCCTCATTGCAACGACAAACATTGTATCTAAGTACCAGGCCCAGCACGTGCCCAAGCAAGTGTTCTCAGAAAACCTTGCGCCAACCCGGAAAACCAATGGTCGCCCCTCGGGCGTAATTTATGCGTGGCTTCGTGCCGAAACCCCACGAGGGTTACCGTTTTTGAGTGCAGTTTTGTGGCTTGTTTTTTCCTCAGATAGCGCGAGCAATTGAAGTTCTTACTTCAAGTATAGGAAGAGCTGCATGTGTGCGTATTGCAGTGTGCTGCTGGTGCTGCCACAAAAGTATTTTTGATATCTGGGGCCTCTGCTGGCGCAATGTAGTTTTTTCCAGAGAACACCAAGTGTTCGGAAAGTTTGTGTTTTGGTGGTTTTCAGTGCCACCGCCGCAGTGTTTTCTCCTCACTTCGAACGTTGCGCATCGTCCTTGAGATGGTACGGTTCGGTAATGACATCATGTCTGCCAAAAACTTCTGACAACGCACAATTCGACAGCGAACGTGCTGTTTGACCTGAACATGCACAAGTCTGGCTGAACCGTTTCAGACTCTGGTTGACCCGAACATGTAGGGCTCTGGTTCATGAAGAACATAGAGTTAACAGGTTAATGTTGAGATATGTATCAGCTATATCGGAGCGGGGGCGGAGCGGTGGAGGCGCAACAAGAGGACAAGGGTGAGAGAATGTAAGATAAGATATTCGTCCAAATCACATCGAGTCCGCGCTTGAAGACCTCAAGGAAAACTACGGTGAGCACTGAGCACTGAGCACGGACTTGAAAGATTCAGTGAAGCCGCCCCATGCAAAGTGTTAATGAAACGAAGCTCAAAAAATCAAACGTAGGAAGGACCGTGGCAGAAAATAGACAGACCCATCCAAAAAGTCAGAAGACCCCACCCGACCCCATGTTCTCACAAAGCAAAACAGTTCTGAAAAAAAAACCTTGCGGAAAAAATGATTCATAACGCCCGCTACCTGACAAACATGCCACACGCCCTCCAGGTATGAAAGCCTAAGAGTTCCAAGGAAATTATGTATTGCGGTCTGAACAAGAAAACCTCCAAAGCCCCAGCGATCACGAAGTCCGCGACAAAATGACGGCGAATGTGCACATCTGCAGAGCTCGTTAGCACTTTGCATCACCTGATGAACCTAGAAACAGCCTGAGCGAGGGGAACCATTGGAGTCAATGTGTTCAGAGCAGGTACGTCGATTTGGCGTCCCAAATCGGTTTGGCAGATGCAACACTGGCGTCTTCGTTGGTACCAAGTCCAGTGTGCACCCCTGGCCCAACGGATTCCCTGTGACTCCAGGGTTTCACACTTAGACGTTCATCCAGTGCCAGAATCCACAGGGAAAGCAACGCTGAAACGGAAAGGTGGCTGAGTCCGCGGAGTTGAAGGTATTACAATAAAGTGTATCGAAAAACATCTTAGTTACTGAATACTTAGCGGTCCCGAATTACGGCCGTGCATAATGGGTTAAGTTCCATCTGGAAGCGAGACCAAAGGAATCGCATCAAATAGGGTAGAAAATAGCTAGAAAAGGAAATGAAGTTTCCATTTTGTAGTTAGGGGCCAAGACTTGCAAATCGCCCCATTAGAGTAGAAAAGGGTCAACAGAAGGAAAGGAACCGACGCACAAGTCCGCCGAGAACCATTTCCTTCTGTAGCAGTGCAGGTACGTGGAAATGGCGTCCCATTTCCACATCCTCAGATACACCGCCAGCTTCGTTGACCAGGCACGGCGCCGCATAGCGGCGCTCACTCCTGCAAAAACTTGAATAAGTCAACAAGCCACAGAAAAAGAAAAAGAAAAGGAAAAGAAAAAAAAACAACAAAACGAAGAGGGCAAGAGAGAAAGATAGGTGTAGGGGCGTGCATGTCTGCCGAACGAGCTGCAAATTACGTGCGCAAAACCTGAATGGCCTCCTGACAAAGCCTTAGAAAAGAAAGAAAGACAGAAAAAACAGAACGAAAAGGGCAAGAGAGAAAGATAGGAGTAGCAAAAAAAGCTCAACGTGCGAAACTGAGGGGCAGGGAGACGAGCCTCAAGAACAACCTAACAAGCCTGAAGAAACACCTAACAAACGAAGAAACTGCAAGAAGGAAAGGGGGGAGGGGTGGGGTTGGGGTTCATTCTCCGTAAGCCCGGCGGCATTCAATCCGTGAGCCCAGCGGCATATGGTTCAGTTGATTCATGGGTGAAACATGGTGAAAAAAAGGGAATCCAAAATCATAATCCAAGAATGCAGAAACGCTAAGTCGATACGTGATTCACGATGGCGTCGGCACCGCTCTTGCAACAGGATCACACTGTGCACCTGTGTAGGAAAACATTGCGAGTCACACTTAGACGAGGGTTCATCCAGCGCCAGAATCCACAGGGAAAGGAATGCTGCAACGGAAAGGTGGCTGAGTCCGCGGAGTTGAAGTTGCTTCAATAAAGTGCTTCGAAAAACATCTTAGTTACTGAATACTTAGCGGCCCCGAAATACGGCCGTGCATAGTGGCTTCAGTTCCATCTGGAAGCAAGACCAAAGGAATCGCTTCAAATAGGGTAGAAAATAGCTAGAAAAGGACATGAAGTTTCCAGTTTGTAGCTAGGGGGCGGGACATGCAAGTCGCCCCATTAGAGTAGAAAAGGGTCAACAGAAGGAAAGGAGCCGACGCACAAGTCCGCTGAGAACCATTTCCTTCTGTTTCTCTGGATAGCACTGCAGGTACGTGGAAATGGCGTCCCATTTCCTCAGATACATCGCCAGCTTCGTTGACCAGGCGACGATGTATCTGGCCTGGTCCCCTGCTTGTGGGTTAAAAAGGAAATTAAACTCCTGGAGACGGAGTGGGACACACACTTATAGAAATGCATACGGGTACCCAAATCCTGAACAGCTCAGGCAAAACCCAAAGGATCGCCCGAAAAAACACATACCTCCTGCGATGCCGTCGAGGGACCCATACCAAAACGAACCCCAAGACCTGTGACACCCACCTTCCAAGTGTTGAGAAGCATAGCAACACAGCAAGCAAAGAAAAAACATCAACCCTTCAAGCATCAAGCTAAATCTGCATCAAAGAGCCTCCAAAACATCTGAAGACATGACATAATCCACTTCCAAAACAACAAATTCATCATGGGTCAACACTGACCACTTTAGTCCCGTTGCATAGTTTTGGGAGCTTGTTGGGACTGAGACTCCGACAGTTTGGTGCTAGGTTTTTCTTTGATCGTGTTCGATGTGTTTAGACCTATTTCCGTTTTTTGACCTGCTTCACCAGTCTGTAATGCAAAGGAGCATACACCAAAGACTACAAAAGCCAAGCTAATGCGACCTCGAAATCGACCGTTTCAGGGCTGACCAACCTTCCTTGCTTCACCCGGCCTCCTCCATCTCTGGCCAGGAAAACCGTCGAAGACATCGCCCACTTGTGGTGGAAAATGTGAACATGCTTCCAGCTGTGGCCAGGAGAAACATCTTCCCGTCCTCCTCGATGCAAGCAACCAGTTGAACAAAAGCAACTACGGTCCGCTCAGCATCTGCGCCAAGCGTCAGTGACAGACACCGAGTTGATAGAGCCTTCGTCGCGGTCCATGTCCGGAACGAATGTCTTTTCGCACTCGCCTTCAAGGGGAGGACAGCATTCGATTAACAATTCTAGTCTTTCACATCTTTTGAACGTATTCTACCTTTGAACTCCTCATCCCACCTGACTCCACATCGAAGAGCTTTGCCGTTCCATCTGCTGAAGCGCTGAGGACCTGCAGCCAAACAATCGAATTGTGCTGGTACTCCTGGCATTGGGCTACGACATGGCCTTGCGTGGTGCCTCGAGCAAAGCAACAAGTGAAGCTCCGGGTTCCAGCAGCCCAAGACTGGACACCTGCAAAACATGTTCACTACGATGGCTGCAACTGAGAGCTCTTTGGCCTCGTGCTCGCCATCCAGCTCATGTCCCTGAAACCTTGCACAGACCACAGAAGGAATACTGCATCTGCAAGGTGTGACATGAGAAGAAGGTGACCTAAGTTTGAATGAAGTTTTTGATCGGCAGCCCTGAAGTCAATTGGCACGAATCTGTGCATACAGCACTTGGCAATATAGTCTGCAACAGCGCCACGACGAGACCACTCCAATCAAGAAACCAAGGAACACAAGGCGCAGCGTTGGCACCACCAAACTATTGGAGTAAAATTTTGCAGCTGAATCTTTGGCTTTGCGGATGGTGTCGCCTTCCTCGGTCACTCCAGGCACGACCAATGCCAGAAAAGATTGATGCAGGCATCCTACTGCAGCTTCCAGACGTGTGAGCTTAGAGAAGGCCCCGGATCGTAGAACTGTCTGAGCTATTCCACCCGAGCCCCCAATCTGTTCCACAATGATGATAAATTAGATTTATAGTCCTATACAGTCTAGCTCGCGTCTGTCATGGGAACGTGCAAAACCAGTTGGAAACCTGAGGCAGAGCCGGTGGGTGATGGGGTGTGATGTAGTGGAAACTCGCTTTGCGTTGATGTGAGGAACCTCCGAAAAGTACGACTTCACAACCGGAAGCTGCGTAGCTGGTAAAAACCCACCACATCGCCACCAGTGGAACGGAGTGCTTCACCACCGGTAGAAACGTGCCACTTCCAGGTGGAAGGGTATCACTTCGACTTCATCACTGGTACAAAAGCACCCTTCATCACCAGTAGAAATGCCCAACCTGTTGATGTTTGTCTCTACACATCTCTACTGCTGGGCACTTTCTCTCTTAATCTTTGCTCAGAAATCCTTGCTTTGAGCAGCATTCTGCACCTTTCTCTGGACATCTCCGACTTTGGCAAGTCTTCTCTAGAAAGCTCTACTTTCTGTGAAGACTCTACTTGCCCTTTCTATAAGAAATCTATATAAATCTATGCTGTTGTCATATGGTTTAAGAAAAGTGAGGTCAAATGACACTTCTTTCTAGGACCTAGGCTCATCCCATGTAGAATGTAGAAGGGCAAAGAACAGCAACTCAGCTGCAAGAACGGTATGTTCCTACTAAAAATCCAGAGAGGGAAACCCATCACTCCTTTCAATCCAAAACCTGCCATCCTGGAGTGGGCTATGATCTCAGAGATCCCTTGTTTGTGCTAGTAGTTTTGCACAGTTTTGCTTTGTGTTGTCTGACTTAGGCCTCTTCACTGGCCATTTCATGGTGGCGCCCAGGCAGCTGGGCTCGTGCAATTCCGACAAAGCCTAAGTTAAGCACATATAACAATTATACTGATAAGCTACTAGTAGCATCCTTGTTACTAGGAGCAATGCCAGGAGATACAGATACAATATATATATATATATGTCGTTTAGGGAAGAATTGAATTGCACAGGCTACCGCTGTGCCCCCTGACAACACTCTCACGTGCAAGCCCGCAATCACGCGCACACCAACCAACTGTTACTCTTGCAGCTCATAAAATTCTCTCAGAAACTTCCCTGGTCGTTGTATGCGAGCATGTCCTGTGTAAAATAAGTGCCAGAGTACCATGAATACTGAATATTGCAACTATTTGCAACTATTCAGGTGCTTTAAACACGTCACCGCCTTCTCGCGGCCAAGGATCAGAGAGCAATATTTCACCCAGTAGCTGTCCAGACAGGAGAGTCACAGGAACCAAGGAAGCGGAAGCTTGGCTCTCAGTCAGCATCCGTCATCTTAGAATCTTTACTGGGATCAGTTTCCCGCCAAGGATATGAGGCAAAGATAGGCAAAGCCTTGATTTCAAATTTCAGTATGATGTGCATTTCAACGTCAGCACGTGCACGCAGCACTGGAGATGCAAAGGCGACATGGAATGCTTCAGAGCCCAGCTCCATCAAGCATGAAGTTTTCAGAAAACTAAACCAGCCCTCTTTGCATCTTGAGTTCTGCCTTCCTCAAGCTAAGTTTGACAAGCTCACAGTCCCAACGAAGAAACAAATTTTGAGTTGCAGACATGATCAAACTCATTCTCTTTGGCACCAAAAGTAATGTACCTCAGATCGGAACCCAGGCTCATTGTCTCAGACTCCTTCTGCCACATTTTGGCCAGCTGCGAGAACCGAACTCCGACAGCACCCATGTTGGAAGCCACCTCTCGCGCTCTCGTGTGTGGCAATCTTCTCCGACATTAGGCCGGTTAGATGTTCAGAATTATTAATCTAAATACTCTCTCTCTAACCGAATAATAACATATATAAATATAATAACTATGTACACATGAGATATGCTGATATGCATGTAAAAGTTATATAAATGCTCAGAAGGGCACTGCTGGCCTTCACCAAACCTCCAACCGTCATGAAGGATCGCAAGGCCCGGAAGAACAGCCGCATCAGGTTCTCCTGTGAAATTGATGCTGTCTGAGTTGGTACAGCCCTGCAAGGGTGCGACTGAATCAAGCCCTATCGTTTTTTTGCAGCGGAGTCACATGACGCCAGTTTACAAGAGGGTGGCCATCGAAAAAGCCACCCACAGATCCTCGTGATTCAAGAACATCTCAGAAGCACAAAGCGATCTTGGGCCCTCTAGGTACAATGGTGGGTCTCTCCTGCATGAGGAAAGTTGTAGTACACCGCTCCCAATGACCCCTGGCATTCAGCAGGACAGTACTACAAACACCACATGTCATTCAAAGACTGTTCTATCAATAAGCCTTGAAAAGACCAGACTCTGCAGCCAGCCTCGAGGCCCTTGAATTTTGGATTCATCGCGATCCGCGTGCAGTCTATCTGATGGTGGACTTCGGCAAAGTGCTCCTGCCAAAGCTTTGGATTGAGGAGTCCCCAACAAACAAGACGCATTCCCCAACCGGTCCTGAAGGGTCTTGATGGTTTCATCAATCTCCTTCGATGCTGTGCAGAAATGTGCGGGGTAGAATCTAGATGTCCGTCAAAAACTTCGGTTTCTCATCCGCTGCAAATCTGTGAAGTCATTCCAGCTTGACTTCAAGCCTTGTAACGCTCTCGAAGCACCTCTCGGGATTCAAAGGTGGTGGCAATGACGCGGCCAACATGGCCTGGCGGCGGAACTTCAGCGCCCTCAAAGGGTGCCCAAATTGACTTGAGGTGTCTGCCTAATGCTTTCCGGTGTCTCACGAGGTTCAACCTGCAAAGATAGCTGCCCCCAGTCACAGGCAAACATCTGGCAATTCACCCTGGTCACCCTTGAACAGTGATTTTTGAGCAGTCTAAATGCAATACAATGCCACCAAGCTGCGAAAAGCTCAAATTTGCATCTCCAAAAACCTTGGAAAATATCACGTTTTGGGCAGCACTGACGACTGGGTTTGACAGCTGCCACCACACGGTTTTTCCCGCACCGCAGCGGACAATGAAGTAAGATAGCGATCTGGAGGCAAGCCATGGCTCTCCAGAGCATCCACAAGCGAAAATAGATATGCATCATTCGGCCCAGAGGGGCCCTTGGCATTGGCAATAACAGCAGCCGTCGTTTCAATCACCTCAGGCCCCGTGTATGCAGCACTGTTCTCAGGCTCATGCGCAAAGTACACCACTGCCGTTCCCAAACCAGGATCTACTGCTTCTGCATTGTCTACATCCCTTTTTAAGGGTGACAGCTTTGCCAAAGTCCTGGTGTATCCATGCCTCTCACGCACGTCCAGAGCCTCAATCACACTTGGCCAGTCCGCCTCATCAACCTCATAAGCCATGCCAAATACGATATCGTCCTTAGCCACCTCTCCAACCACTTCAACCTCTCCGAGGTCCAGCTTTCCGATCGAATCGGCCCGTAGCAATGCGACAACTCGCCCAGGGTTCTCAGGAGTGCCTCGATGATCGCAGGAGCGTTGCCAAAAGCGGCGGATGAAGCCCGTCACACTGGCTGGATACATCCGTTTGTAAGGGAAGCCAGGCCGAAAAATGAGAGAGCCATAGCCAAAGATTGTTCGTACCCGAGAAAACTCCTCCGGAGCAATGTTTGGATCAATCCTTGCTGTCTGCCAGCAATCGTAATCGCCCTCAGGCTGGCTTGGCCTCGCCATCAACGGCAAAACCTGTGCGAGGTGCAGATTCTCTGGCAGGATCCAGGATAGCCCTGCAAGTACCGCGATAGGAAGTAATTTGTTCGAGCTTCTAGGCTTCATCTAGTTTTCAGGCCGAAAGACCTGCGGCTGCATTTACTTTGTCGAAAGCTCATTTTGGCTGGCACTGGCAAATATATAGAATCAGTGAATCAGTGTCGTGATTTCTAGCCGCCTTGAACCCCTAGACTGCAAAATCATACACAAAATGGGAGAAGCTACTTCTTGGCACTCGGCTGCCCATTCAGAAGTTGATTCAGCCGAGAAGCGGCGGCATCAGCTGTTGGATCTATGAGCTCTAGCCGGTGGAAGCGGCTGATGGCGGCCACACCAGGCGCATCTGCATTCGGTCAACGCTCCACTAATTAAACTAAGCGCGCGCTATCGCAACAGTCCAAAAGAAGAGAACGTGTTTTGAGGCACTTTGCCATCTATCTATAATTATCTATGTATGTACAGTACATCTATCATCCTCATCTCCTACAATCTTGTCAGAGCTTCAGATGGTATACCGTATACCCAACCTGGCATGCAACCTTCAGTGCGCCCCTCAAGTGGCAAGGCTTGCTGCGCCTTCAAACCGGCCAATCTTGGAAAGGAGAGACAAAAAGCAGTAGGAAGTAGGAAGAGTGATGCAATGTCAGAAGAACGACTGTGAAAGAGTAAGTGCAGAATTCAAAGGAATTCTCGAGTCCAACCATCAAAGCAGTTTCAGTCCACTCCTCTTGCTCTCTTGCTCCCCTCTTCTTAAATCTATGGCACTGCACCTCTTGCACAAGCTCTTCCAGCTGCTGTGTCCCGTCGTAATGGTCAATAATGTAGCGCAAATCCTGTTCCAAACGAGGATATGCGATGACGATCAACGAAGAAAGCAAGCGGTAAAGCATGTCTATGGCAAGCAAATTGATCTCAGTCAATCTCTGTCCAAATAGGTTTTGTTTAGCACACAGTTCGGTAGCACCTTGTGGCTCAAGGTGCGCAGCAAACCTTGGAACATGATACTGTTGCCAAGATGCACTTCAAGTGTGACAAAACAGAAGAGCTTGAACCAGCAGGTGGTCAAGACTGCAGCTATCTTCATCTTTGCCCAAATTCCACCTTTCGCAGAAAGTCAGGAGCCTCGGAAGTGTGGATGCAAACTGTTGGGACGTACAGGCTTATTAATCAGGCCAAGTGGCGCATCCAACGGGCCCCCTCCGAGAGTCTTCACTTTTTCGTGCCCTCACACCAGATGAAAGTGCTATCATTGTCACACATCATGCAAATTGAGCAGTCGGCACAGGGCAACATGAGTTGCAGCTTGGTCGGCTGGCAATTTCCTTAGATTGATGGCAAGCACTTCCGTGCAACTTGGCCAGGTGTCGTTTTGAATGCTGGTAGTATTGGCTGTGTTCATCATGAACACAGCCAACACCACCAGCATGAAAGGGCCAACAAAAATCATATCATTCAGGCTTGGCTCTGCCAGTTGAACATGTCAGGCGTGAAAGCGGACACGTCCAAATACTCAAGCTCATCCATCTCCAGGCCTTCCAGAACGTGCAGCATGACCTTGTCATCTTGCCTCGGAATCACTTATATAATGTGACCGGCTTGAACACAACAAGGCACAACAATATAAGAGGCATGATATAGCTGGTTAGTGCTGGTCTTGGGCAAGTCAATGAAGCTGGTGTTGATGTAGTGTTGGTTGGACGTCTATCTCATCTGCAAAGGTCCTACATGACGAACATAGCCTGATTCGTCTCAGGCCTGCACAATGACCATTTCCTCGGCAAGTCCAGCAGGTGTACTGTCAGTAGTTTGCTCTTGTCATTGTTCCTATTAGCTTCTTGTTACTAGTAGCGATGGCCTCCAACTTAACTGCGATGGCCTCCACCTAGTAGCGCCCTGTGCTACTAGTCTAAACAGAAAATTGAGATTCAAGCTGGAGAAGGTACTCGATCTTGCAGCGCTGTTGCGCTGGAAGCTTGTCTACATTCTGCCGCTTCTGGGACCCTGCCTCAGCTACTGCCCTACAGCCTACAGTTGCATAGCAGGGAACCACATGGCTGAAGCACATCTTCGTAAGCCAACCGAGCACTATGTCAAATCGGTCAAATCGTTTCACTTCTCGGTCCACTGAGTGTCAAAAGCCCAACGCCTCAGAATCCTCGCTCAGGAGCCGCTTGAGGCGGAGGGTGCCCTCTACGCTATCCCTCAAGTGCTCCTGAAGGGAATCGTCAAGCAGAACAAGGCCGGACACTGAGAATTTCCGCGCATGTGTAACGCACGCAGTTCATCCTTGAGAGCTAACCCATGCATTTTGTATTGAGTATGATGTGCAGCTGATCACGTTCTTCAGGTGTCCTTAATACTTAGGTGAGGATGTACCTGTAGGTGCTCGCACAGTCGTAGGCTCAATTCCCCAATTTCCCACAATTTCCCGGCGTCATGTCATTTCAGATCTTGTGTGATTGCTAAGCTGCAGCTGCAGCTCCTATTGTGTCACCACCCCACCGGAACAACCCATGCACATTTGGGAAGTTGGAGTAGGTCCTCCTACAGTTTGTTGCTCTGTTACTTTGGAGAGGCGGCCCTGCTAGATTGATCCCGTTGACCGGATTGCTCATCTCCAGTGGCATAGCCCCTCTCACAGTAGCCGGATCTTGGCACCCAACCTTCGACAAGCCATTGGCCATGTAAGTGCACACTTGGATTCTGTGATGACAGGGGGCAATCCACCCTGCATGGTCAGGCAATCGACCTGCTGATATGGTTGGGTACTCCTTTATGACTCCTCATGCAGTCCGTCATTCCAAGATCATTGGCGGCACCCCTGTCTATCAGATCGTTTCGAACCGTTTTCGCTAATCAGCTGGGTGAAAGAAACTAAGTTTCCCCATGCTTTCTCTGTCATCGCGCACTCACACGTGGCAGGTTAGAAAAGGCTTGGTTTCTCTCCGCGTTCCCTCACTACCGTTCACTCATTACAGGTAACTTTATAGCATGATGCTCAATGTAGGGTATCAAAGGGCAGGCCGTTCCGGTTTTCCCGTTCAGCAGTTCCCGCATTGGTCCGAAAAGTCGAAAAGTTCAGAATCTGCCTGCGCTTTTCATGGTCAACTCGGACAAAAATGTGTCGCTCATGCAAATGGAAGCTTGACTTGGAGCCAGCAACGCCAAACAATGTGTGAATATTTGGAGAAAAACTTGGCCTGCACTTCATCTATGTCATCATCATCTTCCGCCTTTTCAGTGGATTCAATGGCAACGGAGGAGGAAGAGAAAAGTACGGAGAAGAGATAGAGTCGCATCAATCAAGCGTAAATTTGCAGTGCTCACATCTGAGCTCCTCTACATAAAAAAAGGAGTGGATCGGTGATGGGTGACACTAGTTTTCTGGTGGCTAGGTTGTCTAATGCAGGGCATTCATCTGAGCCCGAGGTCAGCACAACCATTTTGGCAGTAGGCTCACACAGGATGCTGCGAGCCAAGACTAGCATCATGTCCAACAAAGCGCGTCGCTACATGTTCCTAGTCTCAGACATCAGCAGTAACAAAATACATTTGGCTTGGAGGAGTTCCAGAAATGCATTTGACCGTGGCTGTGGAGATTTGGACACCCAGCAAGTACTGCAACTTTGGAGGAGGGGGCGCACCAGAAAGCACATTTGATAGACAGAGGTGGCTCTGCCTTCCCAACCTCGCAGGTCAAGTCAGATTCCTTTTCTTTGACTCAAAGCTTTCGCCCAAGCTTTGAGGGCCTCATCAGGCTCCACCTGCTCAATGTCATCGACGGACTTTGGGTCCTGCCACTTCTGGTTTTCCAAACGAGGCTGACAGGCCGAAAGGGTCTACTTCTTGTCTCGTTTCTAAACACCCCGTCGTTGCCTGGCCAGAATCACCATAGGCACCTGAACACGCATAGCGGGAAGCCTTCGCTTGTGACCCCAGAAGGCTGTGAGGCTGAGAGCACCGCCTTCGTAAGGGCTTTGACATGACTCTGAGTAAGCCTGGCACAGTGGAAGAAAGCGCGTTGGTTATGGAAAGATTTTCGAACTCGTGGATGGATCTAAGAGAAGGTTACCTTCAGGAGAATGGCATTGTCACTAATCGTCCGTTGAAAGCCCTTTCCTCTGCTCCATCAGCGGCCAGCGCCTGCTGCACTGCCATTTGAGCTACCTGCTGTGCAACCGCCTGCTGCTGGGCAATGGCTTGCTGCTGTACAACAGCCTGCTGCTGCGCAACAGCTTGCTGCTGCGCCGCCTGTTCCCAAGCAAGGGTTAGAGCAAAGTGCATGGATGTTAGGTTCACACCCAAGCCTGATTGAACGCGGCAGCATTGTAGGCCTTGGACAAACACTCAAACTTCAACATCTGAAACCAGTGCACTGTAGTATAATAGTGCCCCTACTCCGTCTAAAAGAACCTAACGTACGGTCATATTGTGTGGCGTGCTCACAGTCATCTTGTTGGCAGTGCCAACTCTCAAGTTCTCCTTTTTCTGGCACTGTATCGAACAACTTATCGAGAAACGAGTGTCAGCTTGCAACGGTACCTCCGAGCGCTGGCTCGTGGCTTGCAATGCTTCTGGTCATTGAATGCCTAGGAGGTAACGACCTCTGCCAGGCAACGCCTTAAGATGACATGATGCGCTTCGCGCAGTAGTCTGGCTCGAAGATCCCCGACGCACGATTTACCCGGCTGACAACCAGCTAAAACTCTCTTTTTGATTTGGTGGAACTGACCGTCACATGAGAGACTAATGGAGTAATGCTTACCTGGCAAGCCAGGAATGTGATATGATGGCCAGTGGCCAGTGTCCAAGTGACACCAAAGGTCCCCGAAAGCTGCAAGCCTAAATCCGTTGGACGTCTGTAGCTTCAGCTCAGGCTTTCTTCGGCTTTGCACTTTCCATGGCAGCTGCTTTCAACTCGTCATACCTTGGAGATGTGAATCTGTTGTCAATGCCTCGACCATGTTGACCTCCAGTCTCCAGTTGCTGGTTTGCTGCTGAGCTGCTGTTGTTGCATGGTCCGCTGCAAGTGTTTCGCCAAAAGGACGTGGTCTTCCGCCTCTTTCTCTTCCGGTGGCAAGTCTGACTCACGGAGCTGCTTCAGCAGGGCCTGTGAAAGCAAGCATTGGGGTGACTGAGCAGGGAGCCGGAAAATAGTACGGCTCTTCAAGGCTCGTTGTGTCTCATTGTCCGAATCCCCTTGACCTTAACTGGCCCGCTGGTCATGCCTTCACGCCATCAGGTGCCAAAGCCTTGCAACTCATCCTGACCCGACCTGAACAAGACCCAAATCACTTGTCCGGATTCTGCAGGTGCCTCCGCTCACAAAATGTAAATCCAATTCATACACCAGTCCGACACAGTGCCCATCGCCAGTTTGCCAAGCTGCCTGGATAGCCTCCCATCTGAGCTTTGAGGGGCCAAACAGTTTGAACATTGTAGCACATCAAGGACATCAAACGACCATCAAACTCGATGACTTTCCTCGGGCTCCCAAGGGAAATCGCATCTTCAACCCCCTAAGCACTCAGCAGCAACTTGACTTTGACTGTTTGATGCCAGTTGGTGCTGCTTAGACTTCCAAGCTGCTTCATGCCACCATAGCGGAAGGGCAGCAGCTCATCAGGGCTTTTGTTGCGCTGGCCTGGTCAGGGTAAGGAATGCCATCTTAGAGCAAACCAACTCGGCCACACAATCAATGAACATGACTGAACAGTTTTTGCGACGGATTATCAACTCGATTGTTACAGTTGCCCTTTAACCTTCTGTCGGGTGGGCCTGGATCCATGATCGTATATACTAAAGAGACATAAAGGCACATTATATATAGAGGTATTGTGCCCCCCGCAACACGACGATGGGCCTTCTGGGTAGAAGCAAAGCCAGCCACCCTCCTTCAAGAACTGGTCCACCTGATGAAAAAATCGTTGAGCAAAGTGAATGTCTCGGGGCATCTTGAATCTGAAAGCTCCTGAGGTGGGTGCTTGCTTATCAACCTGCTCGTTTCTCTCCTTGTCAACGGCAAACACGCCATTCTTGCTGCTGGTGAAGTACACCGGAAAGTGCCCAACTGCGCCTGTTAAAGGTGTGCAATGTAATGTTTTGAGTCTTTTCGGTCCCTTTTCTGTGGGCTGTGTGCAGCATGGTTACGACAAATTGTGGCCAACACAGGGAGGTTGAAGAGATGTGCATCCATATAGGTTCGGCCTCGCGCAGCGAACCACAAACCAGAGCCGAGGTGTTTGGGTCAGCGGCCCTGGGTGGCTTACATCTCCGCATAACTGGCAAAGGCAACGAGACTACTGCCAGGATCACATCCAGGAAGGAGGCATGGTTGCCTTGCAACAGGTGCAATAGGGTGCAATGCCTGGGTCGACTCTTTTCTCTCTGGATTACACTCACATGTTGGCTGTTGACAATCCCATGGCCTAGAATCATCAATGGGTGATGCGAGTCTTGTCCAGCTTGAACACGACCATCCTGCTCCTCCATCTTCTTGAGCATTAGTTTCCACCTACAAACCACTCTCGAGCAATTGACAACACCTCAAGCACCTGCATGCACAAGCCCTGGCTGCAGCTTGGATACTCATCAGCGGTCCCCTGCAAATGAGTTTCTTGGCGTCGTGGTTGGTGTGACCCCACATGACCACCCGACCGGCCGAGATTGCCAAAAGCAGGGATATCTGCCCCAAATGGGCGAGTTCGCTGGGGCCAAGCCACATCAGCATAGGTCGTTCCAATCCATGGTGCGAAGAATAGGGCAATCTTCCAACACACCTGACCAGACCAGCAGTTTTCCTGCCTGATGGCCCTGTTCGCAAAACAAGTGAATGTTGCAGCAACCGCCTGCACCAGCACCAAGCACACGGATTCGTATTTCCTGCAGACTCTAAGGCCTTTTGCTTGCAAAGTCTCACCATCATGAATTGCTAGAGTGCTGAAGTCCTCTTCTCCATTGGGAATACGCCTTGGCATCACCCTATTTTTCGTGCAGGAACATGACCCACTGCCTAACAGTGCAGCCAAAGCTCTGATCAGTTTCATAAGGCCAGCAGCCCATAGCATGTTCCTAAGGCTCAAACAAGGACGCTACTAGGGGCTCCTGGCATCGCTACTAGGAGCAAGGACGCTACTAGGGGCTAGGCTAGCATACCTGACACCGCTGAGGTACACTGCAAGGATCAGGCCATACGCCCCCATGCACAAGCGGCCAAACATTGCTCCCATGGCGGTTGAGCCGCTGAGCCGCTGGGGGTTCTTGGGCTGTCTGGAGCCGAGTCTGAGCAGAAAAACTTGTTGTGAACGATTTGTTCGAAGACTTCATTCCCGCCAGGGCAAAGGCGGCAAACTCAGATACCCTCTAGGAGCTGAACATACATCTGTTGCTGAAGCTGCTGTTGTGGCATTTGTCCATACACGCCAGGAGCCTGCGGCCTCAGCGTCAGCGCTACTCACCACGGGCAGTAACAGCTGAATGCTGCTTCTCTCCTTGTCTGATGAAGATGCATCTTCATTACTGACACTGTCCCCCAACTTAAGAGCAAAACATATGCGGATGCCAATTTCCAGGCAACCTGCACATTAGACTGGGCTCTCGGGTGGAAGCAGCGAATGCTTTGTGTAAGCGTGACAAAACCAGCTTACCTTGGGGATGCCGTGCGCGGTGATTTCACCCATGGAGGTTGGATCTGAGACGCATTCTTTGGCGGAGAAGGTCGATGGAAGCTCGGTGGCCTTAAAAGGATACAATGGCACGATTGAAGCGACAAAACAAATCAAATGAGCGTTAAGGAGATCCTGACGAATTTGCAGCTCCAGTAGCGATGCACCCTGCGAAATGCCAAAGCCTTGAACTTGGTGGCCCTGCGGAGACCGCGGTGGTAGAGGCCTGTCATTGGCAGGTTTTTCTGGAGCTTCCTGCACAGGCGCCAAGGTCCTCAGGGCTGATTCAACCTTCTTTCTCTCAAGCTTCATTCACCATCCGTACACCTGCGCAGTTCGCTGGCGTCTTTTCAGCTGAGGCAACAACTGCGCCGGTTTTTCATCTCCGGCACTACCTTGTTCACGAACAAGCACAAACAAAACCGACTTGCAAGTGCCAGGTCTGCCGCCGAGCCTATTTGCCGCAAGGAACTGGCCTGACATGACCGCAAGGAATCTTGACCCATAACCACAATCTACGTACTGCTTGGCCTCCGTGGCCGAGGCAGGCTTTTGCCTCAGCCCGGCCGGAAGATCCATGAGCGATATGGCTCAAACTTGGGGCACCTGCCCTGCTCCATCCAGTGTCACAGACATTTGTGAGTAATGGTGCTTTTCAGTCAAGGAAGCTTCATTCTAGGAGTTGCGCTGGGAGAAGTCAGGCAGCTGGATCGGCGCAGAAGTTCCAAAGGTGAACCTAAGCCCGGTAGCTTGCACTTGTTCGAAATCAGTGGCCCGGCAATGGTCACTGGAAACGTCGCATCCACAGTGTTTCGAAGGGCTTTTCCACCACTTTGGGCAGATGAACCTCAAACTATGGCTAGTCGGGCATGGTAGGATGCCCAGTGAAGTGCCAAGGCCTACATCAGCAGCACTTTCTGCTCAAGTCCTGACTCACTGGCAGGATCATCCACAAAGTCCATCTGCACGAAAACCGCACAATGGTCAGATGCCATCTCCTCAGCAGCTCATGGTGGGACATTGTACATCATGCAAACCTATCCCCATGCATGCCTCTGTTGCCATACTCCTAAGGCAAGAAGCATCGGCAGGAGTACGTCGGAGCACGTGGGCTAACTCGCACATGGGGAGGGCATCTCCATCACGGAGGCCAAAGAGATGGTCAATCCTGCATTGTTGGACCCTTTTCAAGGCACGAAGCCTCAGCTTCATTGGATCATGCAGGCACGCCTCATCCCAAACAAACCGCCGCAGCCATAGGCAGGAAAGCTGGCTTGGCAGCAGCAAGGTGCTTCTGCTGCCTGAGTTGTTCGGCAAGTGTCAGCCAGTGACCTCAGACTCTATCTGCTTTCCGGCCTGGCCTTCCACAAATCTTTCCAGCGCGAATCTGAGACAATGACCTGTTTGCGAGCAAGCTTCAGTTCTCAGCCCCAAATAGAAAAAAGTGCCCAAGAGCTCGGCACTGTACCCGGAGAACGGCATGTAGAAGGAGGAATTCAGATCGCCGGCTAGCAAGAATGTTGGCCTGGATAAACCCTACTGGTACCCAGTCGGCTTCAAACGAATATTTACGTGCCTTTCCAAGTCCTCTGGAATTGGCACATGACGAAGCTCTTCGATCCAGGCCAACAACTGGCAAATCACTCTTGATGCACTCGACGAGTGCAAAAGTGTGCCAAGGAGCACCTCTTCCGCCTGCCGACGCTGCTCTGCAGATGCCATCCTGCATTGGAGTAAACTGGGGACTTGCAGAAAGACCTGACCTGATGCACGGGCCCTTGTCTTGTAAACAATGGTCAGAAAGGCATTATTTGCCCGGCGCATGACCAAGTGTACCACATGTCCCATGCCTGAATTAAATGCATTCTGACTTCCCTCTTTACTTCCTCTTTACTTAAAATTACGCCAGCAGAGACCCCAGATAGCAAAAATACTTTTGCGGCAGCACCGGCAGCGAGGTGGCGGCACCCGCAATGGCTCCACACAGCGGCAGCACGGCACCAGCACCCAAGCTCCCAGGCGCACACAGCAGTGGCACCCTGCAGCGGTACCAGCACCCAGGCTCGAAAACGCACACGCGCAGCTCTTCCTATACTTGAAGTAAGCACGCTATCTGGGGAAAAACAGTGATGTTGCTAAACTGGGTCTTCATTGCGTTTTGTCAGCATAAAGGCCGGAGTGCCAGTTCCATTCGTGCAGACTTCAAGGCGTGCTCCTGTGCGAGAGGTGAGTGTTCACTACCCACATTGGCCTAGCATCTTCACTGGCCAAATCGACAAGCACCTGAAGGCCCAACGAATGCCACTTGGTCGAGCAAGGACAATATAGGGTGAAGAGAACTGAGGACAACGCTTAGAAAAAGAATCGGAACCATGTTTAACGAACCATCATTCCCCTAGAGGCCCCAAGTCTCAAGCAGGAAAGCACCGAGGCACTTGGGGCCTTTTCATGAACTTACCAGGCCGAGCCAAGGGGCTGCCAAAGCCCCTCGAGGCTGCTCTTGTTGATTCATGTGCAGCACCTCCTCGTCCTGGCGCATCCCAAATCGCTCACAATACCACAGGCTGCTCCAAGCGATAAATTTGGTCATTTTCTTACTCAAAGCTACTCGCCCTGTCCCCATCACAACGGTGGAACATGAGTCGCCGTCTGTCAAGAATAGGGAACCTGCAGTCAGAGTCGGACCCTTCATGAATCAATCAAGAAACGATGCTTCAAGCAAGCATGCATCTGCAACGCAAATGTAGGGTGTCTGACCCCTCTCACCTTGTCAATGTCGCCAGCCCGTATGAGGCTTCATCAGATGCAACCAGTACTTCACCACCCGTGCAGGTGGCCTATCCAAAAAGGAGCAAGCTCAAGCTAGGTTCTGACAGAAAACATGAAAGCAAATCAAACACGAGGAAAGCGCACCTGCAGAAAGGCTGCTTTCAGAGTTGGGGTAAACTCATAGTTCGCCAAGCCACAGGCATCGGCGATCACCTGCGCCTGGTCATCGGCATGCCTTGGCCCAGGCTGTCTGAGACTCATCTTGAAATCCGCCCAGCGCACTAAATACCGCACTAGTATGCTTGTAAACGTGCTGGTCAAACTTCAACGTGAAGTCGAGGCACGTTACCGACCATCTCCGCGCACGTTTGAGTTTCTTGTTAACCTCCACCTGCGGACGGCGAAAGAAATATGTAAATATGTACATACATATAATATAGAGAGATACATACAATATAGAGAGAAAGAGACATATATAATATTATCCCCAAATTATAGGCTCTGCCTGTGCAATTTCGATGCCTGAAAATCCTGAAAACTATCTATGAGAAAGTATCCCAATCTGGCATCTCCACACCTCTAAAACAAAGGATTGAACAAGTTTCCGCAAGCAGTGTCACTGGTCGGCAATCATATCTCAAGCAAATCCCACTGACGAAGCATACTGCAGTGGCCTCTTGGAGGCACGCGATCTCTGCTTTGGATCTTCTAATGACGCCAGCAACCCGCTCCAAATCATACGCGCCGTCAGTGCCAACGCCAGAGTGAATGTTGTATGTTAAGATGCCCACCATCGAGAAGGGTGGACACTCAGACCAAGCAAAAGCAAATGGTTTGGGAGTTGGGGCACGACTGTCCCCAGAGTTTGTCAAATTGAGGCAAATGTTGTTTCCAATCTTGGGAAACTGCTGTTGAACAGCTAGCGGCTAGTTGGCCCTCTACTTGACAGAATGCCTCTGGGACTCTTACAACTCTCATTATGACTCGGCTGAAGCCTTCGGCACCATCAAGAAGAGCCAATACAACAGCTGACAAGTCCGGTTTCATGCTAAACCATGTCCAAGCAGCGGACAAGTCCAGTGTCTAGACCAGAGCTTTCGGAGTTCTGAGGTGTCGACTCGCACCCATCATCATCGTCCTCCAAATCGTCACATGCTGATGCATGTTCGACCATACTCTACCATGTCTTCGTTTCCCGAAAGCTTGACCTATCACCTGCCACATCTTTCACATTGTGCTTGCATACATGCTAGCTGCTAGCTCTCAACTGGCCTCCTCCCCCTTGTTTCTTCTGGCCTCAGCAAGAATCTTGGATTAGAATCACAGCTTTTCCATTGCTTTTTGGAGCCTAAATCTATATGAATCGATAATCAATATGTACTCCTTGTTCGCCTTTGATTTCCAGGCGCGCGGCGCTCAACTTGGGAGATGGGCCTGAGTCTGCGGCTCCACTTGGCTGAAACACAAGGTCTGAGATAGTTGGAGCTATTCTCAAATCCTTCGGAGTTGTCACGTAACTAAACCCTTGGGCAGCTGCAGCTCCCACCTTTCGGTGACCTGCCGCGCAATTTTTGGAAGTCAAAGCATCTGATCACAGTTGCCTGCATCTGAACACTTCAATTGGTGAGTTCACCACCTTTAGTCTCAAAACACTCTGCAGCCTCTTGTGTGTGTGAGGGACTGTTTGAACTATGCCATGCTGTACAGAACCCCGGAACCCCTCAGCAGGGTCAAAATCATTGACCCATATGAGCTTCAGAAGCACTTGAAGATCCTCCAACTGAAGAGCAAGGAAGCAGATTAACGAAAGAAACAGTGCCCAAACAGCGCTAATCAACCCTTTGTATACTGTGTTGCTGAACCACATCTACCGGCGCAGCATCTGTGCACAACTTTTTGCCATGATTCACAGCATCGAGTTTCGCCTGTGACCTCGTCGTTGGCGTGATGTGCCTTAACCTCACCGGCCTGACTGTGGCACCTGGTAAGATGCCCATGGAAAAGGCAAGCGCCCTCCACGATCAAAAAGTTCTTGAGACATCATTTGGCTGTTGGTGGGGTGCAAGTTTCTCCGACTCCTGCGCCTTAGACGCAGCCCTGTGTGGAGGACACCTCTGATGTGCGACGAGCACACCCAACTGAAAAGCAGCATTTTTGTGCTGCCTGCGCATATGCCACAAGTGCTGGGACATCAAGCCACCCTACAACATGTTCCTCATGCTTGACTTACAGGCACTAATGTGGCTTAAAAGTTCGCCAGTGCGAATTACGCAGCAGGAAGCTTGTTACGTTGCTCAATCATCTTCTTTTCCTGCTCAGGCTCCACTGTCAACGCTTGCGGTCTCCTTGCAAAAGCCAGAGCCGGAAAATAAACATCGGGCCACGCTTGTGATTGTACAGTGGAACAGGATGAAGCAGGACAGGAAGAGAAGCAGCATGCCCATAAAAAGCCAAGCATCTGAATGGGTGTGTTGCCTGGTCGAAGGTCCTCAGGCACCTGCACCGCGTGATGCAATGCCACTCAGCATGATGACCATTTAATTACAGTATATATTTGTTTCCATCTCATGAGCGTCCCAGCTCGCATTTGTAAAAGGACGTCTTGAATGGACATGTTCGGTTGTGGCGACTTGCCTGGGACCAGTCCAGGCGCGGTCCTTCTGGCCAATTGCCGTAAGGATTCACCCCGGCCACCTGGGTGACCTGAGCAGGCACAAGTTCCTTCAGTGTCATGGCCAATGGCTTCAGTCCGCCCAGAAAGGCTGAGGACTAAACCCAAAAAATGGTGAGAATTGCAGAGAAGATGTATGTACCGATCCTTGGAAGATGGAAACGACCTCAAGAAGGTCCATCCATCACAAGCAACCTCCAAATGAAACAGCTTGCAAAATAAACAAGCAAAAAGACTGCTCACTCTTCTCTGAGTATCTTCAGCGGACTGCCAACCAAACTCATGTCCTGCTGACTTCATCAAGGCTTCCCAGTGCTACATGGACAGTGGCATGGTTAAGCACTCTTGGCATTTTTAGCCCAAAAGTGTTCTACCTGCCTCCTCTGGATCGGGATTCCATTCTCCCCGTTCAGGAGAGTCGTCGCGGTCATCCATGACCCAGATGTCCTCTGCCGCTGTGCAAACAAAACAAAAACCAACACAAGGATGTGAAGTCAGAGCTTAGTCAGAGCATCTGAAGTTTTGGCTGTGCAAAGGCGCCGGCCGAGAGGTCCATTGCTTCGAGAAATTGCCCTTCTTCTCAGCAACATGGGGCAGAATATGGGAGGTGATCGGCACTGGATGCTGCCATGCTGCCAAGTTTTTCTGCAGTCTGCATATAGAGGACAACATTCCGAACAATATAAAATATAAAAGTATGGGAGCAGAATAAGGCTGAAGCTGTCGACCATCTCGCCATTTGCCCTCAACTCTTGGGCTTCCGGAGGAATGCCAGTCACCTGCAAAGAGCCAGCCTTTCAAACCCGGATGTTTCAACACAAAATTGGCCCAAAACGCCGCAAAGAAATGCACGTTCCCGTCCCACCTTCTCAATGACAGTTCTAAGGTCTCGGACTCGATCTCCGCGGTTGAACTGGATCTCGAAAGAGAGCTGCCCAGGCTGGTTCACCCAAAACTTGCCTGAAGGGTGCAGTGCAAGTGTTGGAAAGTGTTTGGCCGTTGAGACTCTAACTCTCAACCATTCCGATGTCTTGTGCAAAACTGATCACATGCCATCCCTTCATTATGGCTAGGCTTGATGAGCTGAGCCACCCAAGTCTTCACCAACCGGAGCGTCCTAGTTTCAATGAAAGGCGAGGACATCTTGTTCCAACATTGGCAATTGGCATCACTTCCCGTCCTGCTCTGCAGCCTTCTGGATAGCGTCCAGTGTTTCTTCTTTTTTCTTTCGCATCATTTCGGTACTGAGCGCAGCTCATGACATCACTAGCACGCTGCACTCACCCTTGTCCATAACGCACATTCTTCAAAAGAACAAGAATAGCCGTACAATGCCCCCCTCATTTTCAAGGCTCTACTCATCTTCTGCTGTCACCACAGCGGCACCACCTTCAGCAGCACGAGCCACCCGGCCGCGACCTCCTAGACTCAAAGTAAGCGCAAAAAGGGGCTAACAAGTCATTCTCCTTTAAGTGCTTGAGTTTATGCCCAGTATATTCAATGTGCGCTAAGACTAGCTCACCTTCCGATTTTTGCTCACTGTTGAAAAGAAGTATCTCTTTGCATGCGTGCACACGCTGGGTTTTGCGCTCAAGTTTAGATGTCGCATGGACATCATTTTTGACCCAGCTTGGCTCAAGCTGGACATCAGTTTATGCTTCACTTATGGGGCTCAGCTTGGCCTTGGTCCCGTTTGTCACCCACTTGCTGTCAAGGCTGCATGGGCGTCGGGAGCGTATGCAATGCAAACAAGGTATGTTAGGGCCAATCCATCCTGCACTGGTGAAGGCTACTGGCCGCAACAGAATCAGCGCAGAGGCGCCCAGAACAATCCTCAACCACATCCACATCTTCTTTTTCCACTGTGCATTCATAATGATTCAAGGTCAATACTAAATGAACATCTGTCATGCTACCCAAAGGCAGTCTGAGACAGGAGGTCTGTCGGGGCATGTCTGCAGCGCCTCGGCCTGGTAGAGATCCAACAACACGCTACAGCTGCTACAGCTTTGTGCTTCAATCTTTGCAAACAGGAGTGTGTATATATATATACATATTACATACATTGCATCTGAGGCATGGTCTTGGCGTGACCGCACACAGGGATGGTACTACTAGTCTTTGAGCCAATTCCGCGCAAATGGAAACGACCAGTGTTCTCGCCAAGTGCCAACACATGTTTAAGCTGCTGCAACATGTGACAAAAAGACTTTGAATAAATTTGTGCTAGGTCTAGTGACTGCGATGCAACACACATGGCATATGCAGCCCACTGCTTCGAATAGTTTCCTTGCTGCTACTGTCTTGTACTCCCTCCTGCCCGCCTGCCATTTCTTATTCAATGCACCAGACAAATCTTTTATGATCTCTTGCTTTAGAACTATATAATCTGTTGGAAACGGACCAGCACCACGTACTATTGCCTTGACTGATCATAGATTCGACTCACTGCCACACCCAGAGTTCCATACTGAAAATAACATGGAAAGCAAACAAGGTTTAGTTGCAGACCTGCCTGTCACCACGTCGCTCAGCAAGGGGCATCTTCTTAACCTCTGGGCAGGACGAAACTACGGAATGATATATGTAAATATGTATAACTAGATGTTTTTAACTACACTCACTTGTGCAACTCATAAATTGTGGGCTGCACGAATCTGAAAGCTCTTTGATGCATCGCTCTACATCTTGTCAATCCTGAAAGCACCGTGCACGGCTGCGCTTTCGCACTTGCTGCAAGAAGCAGCCTGAACAACACCGAGGTCTTGTGCCTTGCACTGATTCGAAAAGAGCAGATCTGCCAACCATTTCTTGTCGTCAGTCGTCAGCTCTAGCTTGCTCTTTCACGGGCCAGAGCTCGAACTGAACTTCAAACAAGCTCGTCTAGGTCTTCCTCCTCTTCAAGTCAGCTTCCTCCTTGGAACACTGGTAGTTCTCAGCATCAAGCGTGTCATAACCTGAGCACAGCTTGCAACAATCACTGCCACTATATACCATCTCAAAGTATGAACATGCGGTTTCTTCAAGCTAACGCCAATCAAGCTGCAGCGCCGTCGCAAATGCACCGCCAACTGGCTGGCCAACTCAGAAGAGGAAGCAACCATGACACGCCCTGAAAGTGGTGCTGATCATGCATAACTGACATAGAGCTGCATGGAAACATAATTCTGCCGAGTTCGCTGAGTGCTGCTGAAACAGAATTTGGAGCGACCATGAATTGGTGGTTTGCCGAGGCACGGGAAGAAAGATCGAACTTGCCACCCATTGTGTCCAGACACACACCTCCAGCCTCTTCCACAATAATTTGCCCTGCACAAACATCCCAAGGATAAATACCAACCTGATCGGGAAAGCAGGAAATGTCTAAATTCTAAATGGCTTAAGAAAGCATGTAAATGGCAAACTTTGCCATCACACGAGTCTTGGCTTAATGCGAGTCTGAGGCCGTCTTTGCGAAGAGACCTGTCCAAAACTCTGCACCAGCCTCGAAGTATGCGTCCAACCGCCCACGCGCCACGTGCATCATGTCCACACCCGCAGAACCACCACTGCGTATTGCTCGGACGGGATGAGCAAGCAAGTCATGGTTAACACCTGAAGGTTTGTTCCAGGTGGGAGGTTCCGGCATGATACTCATATGGTGCAAGTTGCTAGCACTAAGGATGTGCAAAATCTGCTGCAAAGGAGCCCAAAATTCTCTCTAGGACTTTTGGCCCTCGAGAATAAGAAGGAAAATGAAGATTGACCATGGCTTTGGTCAGGTCCTCCCGGCATCACAAAGAACTCAAAGCTGGTCACAAGTCCGATCCGCAGCTTGCATAGGGTAGCAAGTCGTCTGCAAGCAAATAAGGAAATGGCATACAATGGCCCAGTTGAGGTCATGCTCACACGTGCTAAAACTTGACTTTGCACATCAATTCCCAGTCCTTGCAGCCACTTGAGGCAATCCTTCGTCCGTTGCAAAAGGCTCCATGCCCCTTGATCGCTGTGTAAAGCCTTGGACGCGACGGCGCAAAGACCTGGAAACCCCTGAAACCACAGACGGCTGGATTATTGCCAGAAAGCTCATCCATCTTCGGGATGAAGCAAACACCCAGCACTGCACGCTTCCGCACAGCCAGGCCGATGAGAACGCAGCATTCAGCCTAGCAAGTTGGCAAGTGACAACATGGTGCCATGTCCTTTGCTGCTTCTTGGTTCTCTCTTGGCACCTGTCGATGGATGAAGTTTGTGGTGCCATCAATGGGATCGACGACCCATGTTGGGGCATCTGTTAGCTCCTTGCAGGCACACTTCCATGTCTTCAGTCGGTTTCAAAACACAGCGTGACTACCTTTCGCAGCTCCGGAATGAGCTGAGCTGAGAACTACGACGACTGATCAACTTATTGACTCACTGCAGCTCATTGCATTTTTGGTTCACTTGCTCAAGGTTGGCCAATTTGGGTGAAAAGAAGTGGCTGAATTCTCTGCCAGCAGTTGCAGGGACCTTTGGCACTGTGGTGCTTTGCTGGTTCGGGTCGCCATTCGTGACGACATCGTTTTCTTGCTGCAAGCTGCACTCCCTTGATCAGAAGCGCTCGAGCACCCTGCTCTGCATCTTTGATTGAGACACCTTGCCAACAAGTTTTTGGGAACAAGGTCCTGCTGCTGCTGCTGCTGCCGCCGCAGCCAAACAGTCTCACATTTACACTACTCGTGCATAGTTGGGCTGCATTCGGTGTGAGGGAGAACCTGTGGGCCAAATGATATGATGCTAGCTCACCGACTCGACAGGATGTGGTCAGGGCAATGCCAGAGCTTGCTCAGCTTCAGGAGGAGCAATGTTCTATGGGACTCTCTCGGGAGTGGGCACGTCATTGAGCAACATCCATGTGCTTGGGCCTCATTGACGTCATGTTGGATGCTGCACATGGAGTGGGACCTGACACTGCACATAGTTTCTCTGCGGTACCATATCCTGAGGTGTGATGTTGATGTTCAAGGCTCTGGGTTTTGGCAGCTGCATGAATTCATTTTTTTGAGGCATTCTGTGCTTGCTCTGAGTATATGCCGGACGCGACCACCATGGCCTCCAATCACTAAAATGCCAAATGCAAAAACTCACGTGTTCGCTTGCTTTCCCTGGAGTTTCCCAAGAGGCAAGTAGGGATGAGCCTGACTCAAATGCATTGGGCAACTTTGAAAGAACCCCATCAAGGTGCACAGCAGGGAGCTCCTCTTTGCTCGCCGTCTCCTCTGCAACCACTCCGAAATCGGGTGCACAGGCCCTGTAGCGACAGTCGGCTTGCTGATTTGCAAATCAAAAATATTTGAGTCACTTGCACCCGGCCTTAAGCGAGTAAGAACTAATTCTTCCACTTGGCGATCATACTTGGTCACCAAATCTGCATTTGAGGCCTTTTCCTTGGCCGTCACTGCTTCCAAGTGCGCTCGTATAAAATGGAAGTTGCCCCAAAGGCAAGGGGAAAAACAATCACATCACCCCAAAAAAAACAAGATGGAGCCCACGAACCTGAATGCAAGCACATATGTCAATCCACTGTGTATAGAAAGAGACACAGCCGGTTAGAGTCTCTTTTTCACGTTCCGGCACGCTGTTGGACATCATGCGCTGGGGACTCCACCACCAAGGCAGCATGTGCTGGGGACTTCACCACCAAGCTCCGTCTTCGTCATGAAGGGTCTTCGTTTTGCATTCAAATCAAGCACTGGCGTAAAGGTTCTGGCAGATCCACAGCACGAAAGAAACAATGGCATTGTCCCAAAATCTCGAAAATAAGCCCTTGAAAATGATAACCGTCCACATAATACAGAGAAATCCACAACTGGGACACTCTTGTGGGACACTCTAGTAGGACACTCTTGCGGGACACTCATACGGGACACTCTTGTCGCACACTCTTGTAGGCTGCCATTGCGGTCACTCTTATGGGAAACTCTTGTCGGACACTCTGTGAGGCACTCTTGTAGGACACTCTTGTGGGACACTCTTGTGAGACACTCTTACAGGACACTCTTGTAGGAAACTCTTGTAGGACACTCTTGTGGGACACTC